TTCTCAGTTTGAACGGAGGACAGATGGGCAATCATACTGGCAAAATAGATGACTGAGGAAAAATCTGTGGTTGCGTCTGTGGTTGACTTTGCAAGGCGGAATTGCAGCTAGGAGGAAGAGGTGCAGAAGAGTTGATGTCCATTAGTCCATTGATTTCCTTGAGGTGCTTTGGATATTGTGTCCAACTGAACAGTTGGCTGTGATGGACTTGGCCCATGTACTCAATTATCTTTTGTGCACAACCAAAGTGAGGACATGCACACATGATGTGTTGAGATCCTAGGGCAGTAGCATGGAGCCCCAGAGTGACGGGCATGGTGTGTTGTGAAAAAGTGGTATTGTGGCAGTGTGGGTTGAGATAATGTAGTAGTGGAGGTGGGAAGCAGGGGAGCCCCACAAGGATATATATTCCATACAGCAAGTTTTTGTTGGAATGTATATATTTAGGGTTAGGGTTGGGGCTGTACAGATCCCCACACCTAGGTTTCGTAATCATGGGGTTTGGGACAAATCCTGGCCCCACCGCTACAGAACTTCAATGATTACACAAATCATTTGGAGGGGACTGTACATTGCAATCCTGACATCAATAGAATGTATCATCCTCCCTCACCCTCAATGACTAAGGGTAAGTGGAAGTAGGTAATTTGGCAAAACAGTCTGATATATCTGGCTCACATCAAGTAGCTACATGGTGTCTATCAGTAAACAGAAAGGTATTACATGAGAAGCGAAATTTAATTTATTTATTCAAGAGCTTGTTGACTCATCATTGTTTGATTACTTGTACATACTGGATGGTGAGGTAGATCAAATGGTGGATCAGTATACGGTGTACCCGTTAGTTGGGGCCTGATATGACAAAAGGCGGCCAGGTCTCTCTGTATGGCTTGAGCCAAGAGTATTTTGGAACACTCCTTGGGTTGCCATTCGTCCTTGTTGGATGGGGTATCCAAGTCCAAAGTCGCACGTGCCAGGTCAAACCCTCCCGGAAATAGAGCTTCACGGATCAAACCAAGGATAAATGCCTGAGTGTGTTTCCAGAAAGGCTCTTCTATGGCCTTTTCCTCTTGCAGCCGGCTGACTAACACGAGAAATTGGGCAAGCTTGGAAAGCGTGAAGCGCTTTGGATCGTGAGGGTAAATCAACAAGCCCTTCACGCCGGATGTAAGAAAGGCAACCAGCAGACCGAAAGACACTGGCGGTATCTGACCTGCACCGACACGATTGGTGAGTTCTTCGTATTCATCATCAAGTTGTCCTTGTTTCAATTGAGGCGCTTCGAATAACAGTTCTACATGGCGGAATCGCGCACAAAGACTTGCCATTGCCTCAAGCATTCCATAAATACGGTTAACCAAGTCCCACATAGCAATAACGCACTCTCTCACTACAGGGCTACCAGTACTAATTTGGAGTTGGTGATAATGATACGCAGCTTTGAGTCCATTCTCAATTTTGCGGTTGGCACACACGGTCGAATTCACCTCTGATGAAGGAGGTATTTCGACAGTCTCCATCTTGCAGTACGCCACAGCAGCAAGAACAAATTTGACTCCCTGGTCAATCTTAGGGGTTGAGCTGTGAGAAAATATGGCCATGACCTCACGCAAATACTGCGTGTGAGTATCCTCGTTGGGAGGTCTCGTTTTGGTGAGCTCGGCATTGTTGAGGTGGAATATATCGGGACAATGCCAAGGCGCTTCGCTGGTGCATTGGAAGAAAAGTTTATCTGAAAGGTGATGTACCATGTCACGGGTTAGTGAGGTGTCATCATCACAAGAGCATAGTAGGGAGAACCTACTTGGTTCTTTCTTGAGCCATGTATGGACTCGGAGTTGGCTTTTTGGGAGGATGTTGAATGATGGGGTGGGGGTCGCGTCAAGTTTCAGGGCTTTGTGATCCGTACCTTCCATCCTCAAACACATCAAACTCAAAGCCGCACGATAGACATCGGGGACATCAACATTGTCGAGAGTCTTCTTCTGCACGGATTTGTGCATGAACGCAAACTTTGCGTGGTCAGAGACTGCCCAGATTGTACCCTTAGGGCCGACCACGTGAACATCAGGGTTCACAGGAATTGGTATTCCTCCAGCAGGAATACCACCCCGTGGCGCGGTTGGCACTCCAGAAGGAGCGGCGGTTGAAGTTGAGCGACAGAGCTCGGCAGGGGGCGGGGTATTGCTGGTGTGTAGGCCATTGGTCTCAGGCAGCACCTGAATAGCTGCTGCAGTTTCCCGCGTGCATTCGGGGAGTAGTGGTGCCTTCGGTGGTTGGATCCTTTGGGCGATGAGGGAGGTGCTGCTGCTAGCATCTACAGTGTTGCTGCCATGCTGTTTGCAAAGCGTGTCAGGAACTGTGGCGGCTTCTGTAGGGGGAGTCATTTGCCCCCCTCGAAAAGGACTTGCCTGAGTTTGGGTCGCGGGTACGTCCTCAGGCTGCTCGCAAGGCGTGTCGTTGACTGTGGGGGCTCCAAGAAGTGGAGTGTTGGGGATTGGTGTTGGCCCTGTTTGGATGGGGGTTGCTTCACTTGAAGCTCTGGGTGTGTCCTCAGGCTGATTGCGAAGATCGTCGGTGACTACAAGGCCTTCCTGAGGTTGAGGTGGAGTATTAGCCGGAGCGGTTGGCCTCGTTGGTATGGGGACCTCAAGACACGGGAGTTCCGGGGAAGGTTTTGATAGGGGTTGGCTGACTCTCTGAGTCTCAACGTAAGCCAGGAGGGATTCCAACTTTGTCTGCAGGATGATATCGGAACTTGGTAGTGACCAAAAAGACGTGACGCAAGATGTCTGGACCCATCGCCGAAAGAGGCCCTGGAAACCGTGTTCCCCGAGTCAAAATCTTCTGGGGATCTCATCTTTCCCCAGATGGAGGTCCATAGTGTTGACGAAACACTTCCAAGGTCCGTCCTCATCTTCAGCAGGGGGTAACCATAGTGGGTGATTGAAAAACATGGCAAAATCATCGCTGGCGCTGCCAATCGGAATACGGGATGGGGATTGTAAGACTTCTTTGATGGCGGTGATCCCTTTGACTATGTCAGTGGGTAGAAGGCATTCAGTGTCCGCAGGGGGAGGGGACGTCTCAGTTTGAGGTTGAGGCGCGGGAGAGGTGACGCGCCCTTCAACGCCGCTATAAGTGGCTGGCCCTTGAGCGCCATTGGTAGTGAGACAAGAAGGTGAGGCTGGCGTAGGGGCGGTGGGAGTAGAGGCGGAGGGAGGGATACCTGGAGGTGGTCCTGTCTGCCCAATACGTCTCTCACCCTTCTTCAAAGCAGTGAGGAGCGGGTTCAATCGGTCATACATGTCGAGCGTATCTTTTGCGTCCCAACCTGGCGTACTCCGGACGCCTCGAAGCCATGAAAACATAAGTTGATACGCATCCAGTCCGCTTCGCAAGTTTTGGGAAAGCATCGATTGGTGTAAGGATTGGTCCCAAACTGACTTGAACCAATGTGATAAGGGAAGGTGGGGGTTTTGAGTGGGAGGCAACTCGAATGGCGTGGAGAATAGAACAAAGAAAGGGTCTGAAGGAGTGCGTGACATGGTGGGATACCAAGAGGCCCTTTGGGCATAATCCAGGATGTCGTCGCTGATTCGGCGGAATCCAGCATCAGCACGTTCCATTGCAAAATTTTTGGGTGGGAGGGAGACGGAGCCCGAGTCGGCGGCTCGCTAGGTTTGGAAGGCCTCCTCCTTTTATTAGGTCGTACGGGCTTTTCGACGGCCGGAGGCGTGGCGGCAGCCTGCTGCATTGCCTTCTGCTTAGCCAATCGACCAGGGTTCAAACGGGTTTGAGACTGGGGTTCCTTGGGAAATTTGCCACCAGTGGACGGCTGGGCTTTCGGCGTCGGTGTCTTGGGTGTGCTGGCTTTGGTGTGTTTGTCTAGATTATGAGACGTAGGGGTAGGGAGAATCTGTACAGGCGTTGGTCGAGAAACCTCGGTTGGTTGATTGCCCGTGAGGTTGGCTGTGCCGATGCGCTGAGAAGCGCGTCTTTTCAGCGGGGGCTGTTCCAGCTGTGGAGAGGGGGGTCGGGAGGGTTCCCCGTTGTCAGACTTTGCTGGCTGCTCCACCTCAGACTCCGGACAAAAGAGAGGCTGCAATGGCTCAGCCTCCGTCGCCACACCATGGACTTGTACCGATGAATTCCGCTTGTTGCGGAAGGTGCCATTCCTGATACCTGCAGATTCAAACATGGCGAGGTGGTCAGTTCCAAATTTAACAAGCTTTTTGGCCACAATACTCACTTTCAAGTGTAGCCTCGATTTAATATCCGGTTGATCTTAGTGACTCAAAGATGTCGCTAGTGGTTTGCTGTTCCGACAATTGAGATGCAATCCAATCCCTTTGCTGAACCAAAGTGGATTGAAATGAGGCAAGGTCGAGGTAACATCTTGTTCCGTTCAGGAGGGTGGCCTGGGTACTGGTCAAAATCGCTATATGACAGGCATCAGCTCGGGCGTTCGGAAAGACTGATGCACAAGTGAGGACATTGACACATACGTTTTTTGTCCTCCTGCACGATGTCATCATCCTCGGACTCCTTGTCCTCAGCCTCCTCCTTGTCCTCCTCCTCCTCCTCCTCCTCGGCCTCGTCCTTGTCCTCGTCCTCATCGCCATCTTCTTCGCCATCGTCCAAAGATAAAGAGATCATGGAGGTTTCGCGATTGGAAGATCGGCGCTGGCCTGCATTCGGTCAAGCGGTGATTGTCTTGCCACCATGTTGGGCACGCTGTCCCAAAGGGCCCGCCATTGTCACGTCAGACCACCTGAGAGATGTGTAAATAAAACCAGTTGATGGTTGCTCCCACTCAATCCTTCTCCCCCCCCATCAACATTCAACTTTTCTACCTGAATTTCAATTTCTGATATTCACTTTCTCAACCCAAATTTGATCAATAACTCCTCATCTTCACAATTTCATCTTCTGAGTCTGATTATCCGACTTGAATACATTTTTCACAAAACCTTACCAAAATTCCCAAACGCAAAGGAATGGAAGGAACCTCAGGTATCTTCATGCATCTGAACCCTGCACATCGGCTTTGTGCATGAACTAACTTGATCCATATCATCCTGCTGACCCAGGTACGGACAGTGGGGGGACCAACAGTGGGCCTGCAGTGCCTGAAAGGGATCCTATCATGGAGCAACTTGATAGTAAGTCCAGACATTCTCTGTTGCCAGTAAGACTGAGGATGAAACTGACAGTTCCCGTTCAATCACATCCACCCCTCGTAGACAATCCAGAGGAAGAGCCTGGACTCAACTTTGAGCAAGCTGTTGCTTTGAGAATTGCCAAGGAGAGGGAAGCCAAGCGTCAACAACACCAGCGCAAAACTGATGCTGAGGAACTGCCCGGAAAGAGCCTACAGATAGTCTCAAGCTTGTAGGCCTGACCTCTGCTATTCAAGAGTGGGCTACGGCCTTGCTTGGTCTTCCTTGTCAATCCAGCACCCGCTCATCTCCCACCATGTCTGCTGCGGTACTTCTTGCACGCCACCTTCCTGACGAACCGACTGCTGAAGAGGTTGAACAGTGGGCCAATTATTGTGACCAAAGGACAAAATATTTAGATGTCAACATCCAACAAAAGATGGACGAGCGACTCAAAAATAACCCCTCAGCAAACGAATCTGTCAAGCATCAAATGAGGATTGTAGTGTCAAAAGAAGCTGCTCTCATGTTTCGCAACGCTTTCCCCCCACCCAAATTTATCTCCCGAGTCGCCCATGCTACTGCCTCGATTACCACCTACGATGCTACTCGCTTAGGATGTGCTGAAGCTAAATTCTATGGCTGTGGCTTCTCTCGGATCACATTCCAATGGACCAGTCCTCCTAAAACCCCTTGGAACATGGCTATGTTAGACAACTTAATTACTAGCTGGTTGTATTGTTACAACGCTCGAGGTGTACCTTCTGGATTCCCAATCAACACAAGCCTCAATATTCCCCTTGAAACTAGAGAAATCCTTTCCCGCTGGGTCTCAAATAAGCGCAGAGTCTTCCGAGATGAGGAAAAGGAAAAGAAGTTGTTGTCTACAGAAGGAGGAAGTGACAAACTAGTCCGCCAAAAACTTACAGAGAGGGAGAAAACAGCTTTGAAAGCCATTAGGAAGAAGGTAAATATTTTATCTCATTTCCCTGTTGCAACTTGTTGGAGTGTGTGTGTTTCAAAAGTCTTGTTTACATAAATGTATTATGTATAAATGTATTTCTCTTCATCATTAAATTACATCATACTTCTCAATGTGGAATGTTACGTCACTGAATCAATGATGTCATTTAAGTAAGAAATTCTTTTTGTTTTCATATATAACCTGAGTCTCAAATCACAGTCTGATGTTTCTCTTTTTCTTTTCTCATCTGACTGTATCTTAAACAAAATCTTTCTACAAGATTCTTCATGTTTCTCTTTTACTTATATAAAGATTTATGTTTTTGGTTTTGATTCAGACCAACAGGTTATGAGCCCTTAAAGACAATCTCGAAATCCATCTCTTTCTCGATATTCCAACTCCATTTCCTAATCAACTTTTTCCATGGCATTGACATCAGCTACCAATAGTGGAAAAGCTCCTGATCGACCACCACCACCTCCTTCCACTGGGACAAGACCGAAGGAACCGTTGACTCCTCCCACTAATTTCGACGATCTGTTTTCTGTTGGTTCGAAATGGGGACTGTTGGCATTACCTACGTCATCGGTTGTCGGTCTGACTCTTCTTGAGCCACCTGGTGATAATTCTAACTACAGTAATTGGGAGCTCGCCATGAATGGTTCGATTTTAGGAGCTGGAATGGGTCACGTTTTGAATCCTAAGTTACGAGATGTTGAACAACCTAATTTTCATTTGACACAACAGAATAATGTGATTTGTTCAGTACTGTTACGTCATGCTCATCCTAACAATTATGCTGTTATGAGACCTCATATGGGTAACACAGCTGCGATGTGGCAAGCTTTGTCCGATTCCCATAACAATGCTTCGATGGGATCCAAGATGCTCGTTCTGCCACAGCTGCGATGTGGCAAGCTTTGTCCGATTCCCATAACAATGCTTCGATGGGATCCAAGATGCTCGTTCTGCGACGGCTTATCTCGTTGCGAAATCTAAACTCAGCATGGATGACATTGTTTGTGCCGCGATCAGTGCATCGTTACCGAGTGAACTCGTTGCGAAATCTAAACTCAGCATGGATGACATTGTTTGTGCCGCGATCAGTGCATCGTTACCGAGTGATTGGAATGCCGCTATCAGCAGTCTGATGAATCAACAATCAGTATCTGCAGCCTCTCTGATTTCATCTTTAAGACGAGAAGGTATTCGACGACGGGATCAAGCATCCTCGTCTTTAATTCTGTCAGTTACTATTGATCGTAATGATCGTAACCAAGCTCTACTTTGATCTATGCCTGTCACTTTACCAAACATGGCGGCACAGGTTCATGTCCAATCTACTCCGAGTTTGTCTCGAGGGAAGAAAAGATCTAATGTTTCTCAACCTCCGTCTAACGTTTCTAGCGACGTGACGTGCAATCACTGCAGCATGCGAGGGCACAGTTGGCAAACTTGTCACAAACTAGCTAATCAATTCTTTAAACAAATGCTAGAGAACCAGCCTAACTTATCTGTCCCTCAACGTCATCCAGAAGCCAACCTAGTTCAACCATCTTCTCAATCATCGGGTGAACCTATTCCTTTATCTGCTTGGAGCCCCGCACCTGACACCTTCATCCATCAACCTGAAGGTTCCAGCTTTTTAGTGACTGTCGATTTGTGTGCTTTATCGACGAATGAAGATAAACGTGTTTGGATTTTAGATTCTGGATGTACACAAACTTGTATTCCTTCTTTTACATCTGGGGAATTACTTCTCTCAAAGATTTCCTCAACTCCTCACATTCAAAATATTCGTGTAGCTAACGGTATTGGTCTGAAGGTGACTCAACAACGACTTTTACCACTTCCATGGTCAACTACTGGCTTGGATTTTGAAGTTATCGAAGTTCCAGGTTTACAACACAGCTTATTATCAATTTCACAGCTACGATCACTCGGTTACTCAACTGCGTTTTTGCAAGATCGAGTCGAAATCTTATCTTCTGATGGAGCTGTTGTTGCGAGAGGTTCTTATCGTGGAGGTTTACCGGTATTAAATGATGTTAGCAATTTTTGCCTTAACTCAAATGCTCAATCTACGCCTAACACTTCATTCTATCAATGGCATTGTCTCCTTGGTCATATAGGAGAAGTCGGAACCAAACAAGCTCTATCTCATCTGAATATTTCTGTACCTCTGCCTAAGCACGATGTTGAAGAAGTTAAAAACTGCATTCATTGTTGCAGAGGAAAACTCCACAAGAAAACTTTTCGTTCTAGATCAGCCTATCGCTCCAAGACACCTTTTAGTGTTGTTCATTCTGATGTGGCGTTCCTACCTTTAAAATCCAAGGCAGGATATCCCTATTTTGTCTCCTTTATAGATGATTTCTCAAAATTTACTGTTTGTTATTCAATGAAGACAAAAGATCAAGTACACCTTTATTTCAAGAAGTTTGTTAATTTGGTTAAAACAAAATTCAATTCATCTGTCCTCTGTTTGCGTTCTGATAACGGTTCTGAATATGTCAATAAAAACATGATTGATTTTTGTCTTCAAGAAGGGATTACGTCTTTGTGTGGAGCCCCTTACACCCCGGAGTCCAATGGTGTTGCTGAGCGTTGGAACCGTACCGCTGCTGAACGATTACGTACTTTATTTTCTTCGTCAGGAGTACCTTTATTTTTTTGGCCTGAATGTCTACAACAAATCGTACTATGTTTTAATAACTTCCCTACTAAAACCAACATCGGTTTATGCTCGCCTTTATCAGCTTTAAAACAACCAAATGATGATATCACTCTTTTTGCTCCGTTTGGATGCGCGCTCGAGTATCTCCTACCTCCAACTCTATGCTCAAAACTGTCACCAGTATCCCAAGAGGCGGTCTTTCTACACTTGGTTCCGGATGGAAAGTATGTTGTAGCATATGACAGAGCTAGACACCTTATTGTAAAGACTTCATCTTTTAAATTTTTTATTCAAAAATTTCCTTTTCTCTTGAATCCCAACAAACACCCAACCGAGTCTTTGCCATTACCTTGGTCTGACCTGCCGGTGCTTGAAGAACCAATACAACCTTATGGCGTTATTACTCGCTCAAAGACCACCGTAACATCTCCTGTTCCTTCTTCTCAACCTTCTACTCCATCTTCACCATACATACCTCATGATACCTCGATTGAAATTGAAGATTTGATGCCACTTTCTCCACCACATCCTACACCTTCTCTACCAGAACCTATTCCACTTTCACCTCCTCCAGTCGTTCGACCTTCAGCACCAATTGCAGTACAAAGAAGTTCTTGGGTCACACGTGAACCAGAACGTTTCACACCATCAGCTTTCGTACTTGACACTTCATCTCCAGAACCAAAATCTTACCAAAAAGCCATGGATACCGAAGAATCGTTAGAATGGTCGAAAGCTGCAAAGACTGAAATCAATACTCTTCTCAAACTAGGTACTTAGAAACTTGTGCCAAGACCTACTAATCGAAAGGTGCTAAGGTCAATGTGGGTCTTTAAAAGAAAACTATTGCCCTCAGGAGAAATTGATAAATATAAAGGAAGACTAGTCGTTCTGGGGAATGGACAAATTGCTGGTGTTGATTTTGGTGATGTTTTCTCACCGGCATCTAGACAGGAATCTAATCGAGTTTGCTTACGGTTGCTGGGGTAAAATCATGGAAAGTCAAAGGCTACGATATTACAGCGGCTTTCTTACATGGAAAACGTTTAGAAGAAGAGGTTTTTATGGAGCAACCCGAGGGTTTTCGTGATCAAAATTTTCCTACTTAGGTGTGTCAACTAATTTTACCTTTATATGGGTTACATCAAGCCACAAGAAATTGGAATGATCGATTCACGGCATCCCTGATTGATGTGGGTCTTCGACAATCGGCTCACGATCCTACTTTATTTTTTAAACTTGAGAACAATGTGCTGGTTGATTTAGTAACTGTACATATAGATGACATTTCGGCAACCAGTGAAGATCATTTCCTTCATTCTCTATCTTCATCACTTCGTTTGTCTTTCCCTATCTCAGCGGAGTCAGATTTGTCGCATCATCTATCCATTTCTATTGAAAGATCTAAAAAGTTACGTTATTTCACTCTTCATCAAAAATCTTATATCGTCAAAATAACAAAACAGTTTTTCTCTACTGAACTTCAACAAGTTCCAACACCATACATAGCAGGCTTTTGGTCTTTGATCCCAGCAGATGATGTTTCCACTTCAAATCCAAACTACGGTTCAATTATTGGGGCATTGTTATGGCTTGCTCAATGTACCAGACCGGATATCACCTTTGCCGTCAATCGACTTTCCCAGTTTTTGAAGAAGAACAATGAAGGGCATTGGAAAGCAGCTTTACGAGTATTAGCTTATGTTTATCATACTCGTGATCTTGGTCTCACTTTAGGAGGTTATGACAATCAACTTCAAGGCTTTACGGATTCTGACTGGGCAGAGAATCTACATGATTGTTTGTCTACTTCTGGTTACTTGTTTAGATTAGGTGATGGGTTTATTTCATGGAAGTCTAGAAAACAGAAGACTACAGCACTGTCGAGTACAGAGGCAGAATACATGGCATTGAGTGATGCGGGGAGAGAGGCCATGTGGTTGAGACAATTACTTCAAGAAATTTGTTTTATTAATAATGTACCAACAACTATTCATTACGATAACACGGGATCAGCAGCGCTGGCGAACAATCCTGTGCATCATTCTAGAAGTAAACACATAGATTTACGTTATCATTTTATTCAACAATTAATAAAAGACAAGAACATTGAATTGAAACAAGTAAACACTACTTTTCAATTAGCTGATTTCCTAACTAAAGCTCTTCCTAGACCTGCATTTATTAATCTTAGAAATCAATTAAAATTCAACAACTTATCAAAATGATTCAATTTTATTCTCTTTTCTCTTTCTTAAAAATTTTTTTACGGACGTTTTCAGCATGGGGGGGTGTTGGAGTGTGTGTGTTTCAAAAGTCTTGTTTACATAAATGTATTATGTATAAATGTATTTCTCTTCATCATTAAATTACATCATACTTCTCAATGTGGAATGTTACGTCACTTAATCAATGATGTCATTTAATTAAGAAATTCTTCTTGTTTTCATATATAACCTGAGTCTCAAATCACAGTCTGATGTTTCTCTTTTTCTTTTCTCATCTGACTGTATCCACCACCAACATAGATGCCTCGGATTGGGAGATCCGAGGTATCGTCGGATGCAAATCCTCGGACAGATCTTATCCGAGGTTTCTGTCCGAGGTATCATTATGCGCCCAAAATTACCTCGGATCAAAACCTCGGATAGCTTCTGTCCGAGGTTTCAGATCCGAGAACGCCTTGGATTTCCCAATCCGAGGTTAATATGCTGGCAGTGATCTTAAACAAAATCTTTCTACAAGATTCTTCGTGTTTCTCTTTTACTTATATAAAGATTTATGTTTTTGGTTTTGATTCAGACCAACACAACTCTCCATAAGCATCCATATTGACTTGTGCATGTGCAGCTTCGTGACAAACGGGCTGCAGCAGTAGAGCCCTACTTTTGTCACTTCACAGGTCCACTTAAAGTCCTGCTCTACTCTCAAGAGGTTCATTCTGAGACTGAGATGGACCCAGAGAAGCCTGGGAACTTTAGGAAGGTCAAGCTCAACTGGCGGACCCCCCAGCTTGATGAATTGATCAAACTGGCTGATGATGCAGCTCCCAAAAGGGAGAGCACCAAAAAACAAAAGGATAGACTGAAAGAATTTTCCCAGTCCAGAGGGGAATATTCGCCAAACATTCCTGATCCTGAAGATCAACTTGCTCCCAAGACTCTTCCCAAATGCCTCATTAAGCCGGAAATACTCACTGAAGGGATAGATGAGATTACAATTGATAGTTTGGAGTTGTCAAACACCATAGTTGATCTTAACTCAGCCATTGAGATTATGAAGAAGAAGCTTGGGAAAAGCAACTCCATGGTGGTTTCTTCCTCCTGAACAGCTGCTCTCACCATTTCCAATTTGTTGTTGTTTTTGTTACCATTGAAATTAGGATAGTTTTCTCCAGTATGACCTGAGGTTCTGTTCCTTGTGCCACCTGTGTTGTGAAAGTAAGATTTCACAATCTGTGACAGCCATGCATGTAACATTCCCATTTAAGGAGTTACTTTGCGGAGAATCAAATCTGCCCCTGTTCACATCACTCAAGCCCAAACTTGACCGCATTCCACTCAACCAACTCTCAACATACATTGGGACTTTCAAAGTTGCCAGTCTCAATCAGACAACTAGAGTTTCAACCAAAATAAGTTCACAACTGAGATCATTCAAATAGAACCATGAGTATGCATTTTCCCACCCCTCATCTCCTCACCCACTCAAATTAACAAGGTTCCATTCTACTCAGCATCCACCTTGCAAAAATCAGCCCCAGCTTGGCCCAATGGTGCTGCACCGAAGGGTCGAAAGGCCAAAAACCGCTCATTTGCCAAGATACTCCCAAAGTCAAATTCCCCCACCTGTAAATCTTTTGCCGAGTTCACACGTTACCTGCTTGGCCACACCAGGAATCACCCACATTTCCCCAACCCGCCAACTGATGATCAGCTGATGTCACTCACACCTCTAACAAAGGAAGACATCCTGACTGACACCTCAGTCTCCATTAAGGGCGCGTTCACTTAAGCAATTTCTGGTGAGAAATCACATTCTGCAAAATTTAAAGTGTCTATTTGGTGGTGTATGTTTCATTTTTGCATTAAAAATTTTACAGAATGTGATTTCTGGTCAGAAATTCCTTAAGTGAACGCGCCCTAACTACAGCTCCGACAATCACCCGAATCCATTGGACTGGAGTGTTTTCAAGGATCTTCTGGACACTGATATGGCCAACAAACAAATCTTAGGACCTTTTACTTTTGATTGGGAAGCTCAGGGAGGTGAAGACGCTGCTTGGAATCAAGTGATGATTTTTTTTACCGTAAAGCATTGGATGTTTGCCAGGAGGGCATCCGCATTTCAAAAGTTTGGATTGGATGTCGAATGGGAGAAGGAAGTTATCTATATTGGTATTGTTACCCGATGGGTCATTGGGCAAATTGAAGACTGGAAGAATGAGTTTGACTCTCTGGAAAAGATTGCACAGCGGGAGCGCAGTAGGACGCGACAAGATGTAAGCCTCCTAGCCCATTTGGCAACCTATCAAGTTGTGATAGCCATACTGAAACAGTCTACAGCTCTTTATATACCGTCAAACCACCGTCAAACGATTCCTCAAAGACTTTATAGATCTCCTGCCAGAAGCAGCATGTTGCTCTGATACTGAGGATGATGCTCTTGGTCAACAGCGCTCAATTCAGCCTGAATGGCGCAGTGCCAAGTATGGAGAGTGGCTTCATAAGATAGATGTACTTTCATACAATCATCAAGCCACCGTGAAGTTGAGGACTGAAGCAGCCAGGAGATTTGATACTTGACATGAAGCAGGCAACAAGATCAATCCATTGGCCAAAGTATGTGGTAATCTTCCAGAAAATTGCTATGATAGTGGGTTCTTGAGGGAATGTGGTGACCTTGAAAAATTGAGATTGGGGGTTACGAACAACACTTCAAATCTTGATGATGCACTGCAGGCTATTGCTAAAATGTTGTAAATTGATTTCTCCCACTTAGAAATATAAGTTAAATGAAGTTGCCTGAAGTGAACTTGATTCACCCAGTAGTCAGGATGGAATATGATTATGTAGAACTGCATCTATAACACCCCAATGGGTACAGCTTACAAAACCCAGAAGAAATGCAATGTTTCTGCAAATAATCTATTCTACCTTTTTTTGGAAAAAGTCATGTGTCATTACTCGTGCTCTACTTTGCCCCTGTTTTCAAAAGCCATTTCACAGTTGAGACTCTATTATTTGTGAGCATTTTAAAATCTGCTTCAGACCAGCTTTCAAGGGTTCATAAACCATCTTGAACGCAGAGGAAGCCTCACCACTCAGAGCTCTGTCCCATGAAGACCAATATTCATCAATTTGACATTTGTGTTTTGTTCAATCACTTGTGATCAATAGAAACCACACCACTTGTTCCTTGGTGAATATGAGGACTGAGCAGTTTGGATAACCCTAACCCTCAGTATTGACATGTAACAGCCTTGGAGTGATTCTTACACTTGCATGTTACATCATGTGTATGCTACATGTTACATGTTGGAAGAGGAGCTTGGTATAAAAAGTCAAGAAGCTGAAGTATCTGAGAAGCACAGTGTGTTCAGTTTCTCATCACTGTTCTCCTTCACACTGCGAGGAAAGAGGATTTCTCCAAGGTGAGAAATGATCGAGGTGAGATCCAAAATAATTGAAAAATGTAATACTTCTTCACTTTGAGAATAATCTTTGCAAAACAATTAATTATCTTTCGATCTCAAGAATAGGCACCTCTGAGGTGTGGAATGAACTCTTTTGAATGGGCAGGTTTTTAATGTCACTCTGAGTTTGTTTTTTGTAACGTGTGATTTTGTGTGTAAATACTAAGAGTGATTCTGGTGTGGAACTTTGTATTCATTTACATAAAAAATCAAAGACATAAAAAAAGTTTGACTACATTCGTTTCATACAGGAGCATACAACACTATCAATTTACAGACAAGTGTTTCCGAGATTCCACATATAAAAGCATAAGCATAAGAAGGTTTTGGTGATTTGTGTCTAGACAAGGAAGAGAAAGTGATGTATAAATATTGCCTTGGTTTCAGATCGCAATGTAAATCAGTGTCAAATCAGAATTCATATGAGAGAAGAAAGCTTACCACAAGCCATTCATAGTGGACATCAACTAGAGAAGGAAAGCTTCCAAAAATCCGACTCGATTGCTCAACTCAGTCATGTGCTTGCGACAATCACAATTACAAGCTGTCGCGCTTTCTGCTAACGGCTCCAGCAGTGGTGATGTCCGACCTTCATCTACATAAACTAAGAATGTCACATCAGTTACAAGGCCAGCCGTTGTAGTTTATCTAAGAACACTACACACCAACGGAGTTCTTTTGTTTGGAAGATTCTGCGTTGTTAGCCGTAGTTTTGGGCGCGGTGGTTGCGGCGGGGTTAGACTTGGCGGCAACGGGCGTTTTTTTTGCTTTGGAGATGGAAACATTCTCAGCCTTCAGGGTTTGCTTTTTGGGATCCTGTTCCGGAGCAGAAGAACCCTCAAGTGTATCTAACGAAGTCAGTGAGCTGCTATCAGAGAAATCTATTTGTCGGCGTTGTTTTGGTTTTTGAACGATTGGGTCTTTGGTCGCAGAAGTCGTAGCCCGGGACTTCTTTTGTATCGGTGACCTTGCCTGCGCCAAGACTGCTTTCGGCCTCTTGTTAGAGGAGCTGGCATTCTCCTTCTTGAAAGCCTCGGCTGTATCTTCATTGTCATACAGCGCATCAGCTAGCTGCTGTAGAGGTCATTCAAATGAAAGCTCACGAGTATTTTTGTGTGTATCTCCAAAAGCTTCATCCATATCGCGTTTGCAGGAGGATGCAGATGAGCTGGGACTGGGAGCAGACTCTGTTTTGACAGAACATTTGGGGACGCTGGTGTTTTTGGGAGATGGGTCCAAAGATTGGGCAGCTACAATAGGTTCTGATTTTCGGGTGCTGAGTTTGCGGGCGGCCGGCTTCTTTTTGTGACTTGTAGTTGAGCTAGCCAAGGGTGGCTGTACTTGAGATTGCTTCGAGTGCTTGATATTCTCATCTAGAAACAGGCAAGTAACCCCATAGATCAGGCGAAATAATTCATGTGCTTCTCAGGCGAGTCAGAACTCACTGGATAAGCTGCGTCTTTCCGAAAGACCCTTACCCACGTTCGGCTTGGTGATCATGGATACGGTTCAAGTGGATTTTGGGAGAATCCCTCTCTTTACCTCATTTTTAAGCAAAGTTCCTTTGGGAGCAGTCGAAGGAGGCGGAGAGGCTGGGACACCTGCACTTGTGGTTGGTTGTGATCGCGAGGGTTTCTGGATGCCTTGCTTGGAGCTGGACTGCATCGGCACGTTGTCAGTATCTATATAGTGTTAGTCATGGCACATTGGATCAGTATTGGTGCGAGCAAATGTGTCGTATTCTGTCAAAACCCACTGGTACACTTGGTCTTAAGAACAGGCTTGGTGTCGATCGGTTCTTTGCTGCTTCTTTGACCGTGTTTCGAAGATTCCGCTTGTTCATCTGCGTGTGGAGAGATAGTGAAATCATGAAGTGCAAATGTGTTTTGATGTTTGCCAAATACTTACGAAACTTGATCCACTTCTGCGCCAATTTTTGAAGTTCCTTTTTTGTCGCGCCAGATTCAGCCTCCGGTACGTATGGAAACTCAAATCGCATGAAATTCCTTATCTCGTCGGCGGTGACTTTGAGACTGAACGGGTTGAATGGCCGCATGTTTGAAAGTGACGTTAAGAACTTTGAAAGTTTATACAAGGCGAGCGAAACAGAGTGAAGGCTGGAATTTGGATGTAAAGGTTGAAATGTGGATTGATTGGAGGTAAAAAATAATGGAATACGAGGAAGGGAAATCAGAAGCTTGGTGACGTTTATAAGCACAGGAGTCAGACTTCTTGACACTCTGCTGATGCTGGACGGTTGATGCTCTGCTGATGCTGGACGTTATTCCTTTCACGGCCACCGTACTATGATCGTGCGTGAACCACTGGTACAAAAAAACGGAGCCTTCTTCTCAATACATAAAGGATCTGTGATACATACTAGGTTTTCGAAGATAGATAACAGTGGATAACCCCTATAACCCCGCATTATGTAGATTATTTTTACTGACCACTCACGCGAATTCGGTTTGGTCCTTACTATCTCACCACTTTTTACCTTATGTCAACATCTCCAACTGTTGGGTGGTGGCCGGTCAATCCAAATACTATGAGGGTGCACCAGTAAGTCTTTTGTTGTTTGTTTCGGAACCGACCCAAAACATGTAGATCGAGCGCTAATTATTTCCTTCTTTGTTTTTAAAAAATCAGATGAAAGACTGTCCGTTTGCCGTTCAATGCTTACAAAGGCGAATTCAAACATGAAGTCTGAAGGGATAGCGTACGATCACCTTACAAGTGTAGGTATCGATACAGTGTTCACAGCTTGGAGAAATTCGAGATGAAAGGGCCTTCAACAGCGAGGGGAATCGAGATTTAGGCCATTGGACGATTTAGATACGTGTGCTCTTCTTTCTCCTCCCGGGTCTGCCTCAAACACATCATTAATTCTCATCTTCACTTGACTGCATTCTTTCAGCCCTTCCGTGATACATACCTGGTCGTCTTTACTTTCTTCATTTCCATTCTAGCAGCTGGCTTCCGCGATTTTTTTCTTTCCACCTTTTGTTTATACTACAAGCCAGTTTCCGTGATACCGGTTTCTTTCTCACTCACCTTGTTTCTGTGATAGCGTCTTTTCGTTCCAGCGGCCGGCATCCGCGAAATCGACTTCCTTTCCACCTTTAGTGCATACTACGACCCGGCTTCCGTGAAACCGGTGTCTTTTTTACTCAGTTCTTTTCTGTGATAGTGTATTCTTGAATCCATTCTTTACATATTTCAATTTTTACATACTTCTGTTGAACTTTCGGCATATCAACTTGCGCTACCACTCGACAAACAATGAAGTCTCAAGACCCAAAAGTACCACCTTCCACTTGGAATCTCAGAAAACGACGAGCATCCGAGTCAGCTGAGGGCGAAAAAGGTATTTTGTAGATTGCTGTCCTTCCGCCAGAAGAGCAATTGTACTGATATGAGCTCTTCTCTATAGATCGTGCGGTCGTAAAGGCAAAAGTTTGGGTTAGAAAAAGCGGAGCCATCACAGCCACCAGGATTCAAAGTACGGAGAATCTGGAACTTGCAGCTTCACCCCATGACCAACTTCAATCAGAACACGAGGGACGAGCAGACGGGACAGGTGCGGCCGGTGATAATGATGAGGATATGTCCCTTCAAGACCTTCGTAAAAAGATGAAGCCCTTCAAAATCGTAGGATCTAGTAGAATGCAGCGAGCCGAACTATTGCAGCTCTGCCAGCTATTTTGTCCACATAAGCAGTCTATAGTGTGCCCATGCATCTTTGGGAACAGGAACTGACGCTTGAGCAATATTTTGTTTGTTATCCTTGGAATCAGAGACTGACACCGCTCGGCGGGTCGCAAATCTACCACAACGGCCTGATAAATCTGTTGTGCAAGGTGAGCGATGATGACCACGACTAATCTCTAGACCCAATTGACCATTGGGTAATTCCCGCAACAGTCACCCGTCCCACGGAACCTGGTAGTTGCTCGGATCGCTCTGACGATGCTATCAATGGCACTCAGAGGACTCTTTCGCGGCGCTCAAGGTCATCTTCAAGCCCTGAATGCGGACCTTCACCAAATCGGAGTAACTTGCCATCTGTTTCCTGCCTACAGGTCCACTTCGCACTTTCCAGACTGACAGCTCTGTGTCTTTGCAGGTCGAGTTAGCGTCGTACAGCCTGCGAATAAATCCAAGAAGAGATGCGTCCGGAGGATCGTTGATTCTGAAGATGACGAGGAATCCGCATCGGGTGATTTTCATTTCGGTAGATATCAAATAGTGTCTATGTGTCATTGATAAGTTATGTTTTGGTTATAGATTCTTGCTCACATGTTCCAAATAACGCTAGAGGGACTGGGATACCTCCTAACCCTGTCATACCTGTGGCTGGGAGCGTGGCCCGGCGTAATTTATATCCTCCTGTCGAATTTCCGAGTCGTGAAAGAGGCACAGCCTTGCCGCGCCCCAGACCTACTGACCTGACGGCCAAAGACAAAGGAAAGCAACGAGCGGTTACGGATTCTGGAAGCGAGTTCGATCCTCAAGAAAACGAATTTGAGGATCGTTCTGAGGACGAGAATTTCGAGCAAATGGATACTGACAGAGACTCACGTGGCCCTGAGTCTCCCACATCACAAGCTGATTCTGTCGCGAGCAAGAAGGTGTCCGGAGAAATTGACGATATCATGGAAGATATTGGCATATCTGATATAGATCCTGACCCTTTCAACGATGACAATGAGATGTCTGATCACCCAGATTGCCACGACTGTAACAGGAACATGAAGCAGATGAAGAACGCAATCAGAAAAACGAACCAGAATGTTTCTCAGATAGGCCACGTTGTCCGCAACATCGCCAGAGTTATGAAGAAGATGGAGGCTAATAAAGGTTCCACTGGAGGGACTCGGGATGGAAAGAAGGCAAAAAAACCGTGAGGGGGAGACTTCTTAGTAAGCTATCTCTTCAGATAAAACAATTCAATTTGATTTGCTGATAACTCGTGCGTAGCGTCGCATTCGATCACATATCTGGACACTTATGGGAGTAAAAAAAGACGGCCGGGTACCTCCTAGCGCAAGCGAGCGTGAGAGATCGCAATGGAAGCAAAGATTACCAAAGGACTTCGTCGATTGTAGATTGGATTTGGATGACGTTGGCGAAGCGGAAAACCTTGAGGGAGGCGAGAGGGATCCACATTATCCCTACCGAGGCGGACCTGGCGGCGCAGACGCTAATCCTCAAGTCTTGCTTATCATGTGGAAGATGATGAGAAGCGTAGGGGTACAATCATTCCGACCGATCTGGGAGAATCAAATGAGCTCTCCGGAGAACAAGTTCTTGTGGCAACTAGCTACCGCCATATTTATTCGATTGGTACAATGCGGCGAATACGATGACGTTACGAAGTCAGAAGCGAAGTCTTCTGTAGTTTACAATGCTATCACATTGCACGCCAGGCAAAGAATTCAACGCGTGTAAGTGGTTGCTTTATCAATTTGGTTTGTGTTCCGTATGTGAACTGAAAACTAGGTAACCGACTCTGAGATTTGTCGGGCCTGAATTTTCTATGCTTCGATAGCTTTCGTGAATACACCACCATGTCAGGTGCTGAACTGCAAGCCCGTGAAAAGCTTGGAGTGCGGAGAGGTAGACTGAATGTTGTGAGTTGTCCTTGTTATTTCAAACATTTAACGCTGATAAACTCCAGCTGACGTCATAAATACTTTGTCATTTATAGTGGAAGAAGCGAAGATGTAACACTGCTACATCTTTGACCAATATGTGGTCGTTATGTCCGCTCATCAAGGCAGCTTCGAGTGACGATGAGACCGACGATGAGGAGGATTTTTCTACCGAAGCAAAGAAGCGCTGCAGGGTCTTGCGGCTCCCCTGGCGAAGTGCGGCTCTAGAAAAACTTTTAGTGCAATTAGATCAATACCAAGAGCGAAAGAAAAAAGAAAGTCCCAAGGGGGTATCCGGAGCAAAACCTCGAGTCAGGATACGTGAAAAGGGAGAGGATAGGAAGGAAAGTATGATACCTGCTCCAGCCGGACTAAGTATTGATTGTTACTCTGAAGAGTGGCTTTCCACTCTGGATGCCAGCGAGATTGAATTGCTGGAGATTGACCCTGTACCAAAATTGAAGCCCCTACAAAAACAAGCCAGAATCTTGGGGTTGTGATTAATTGTAATGGGTTTCTATCATCATATAATTTTTCTTAGTACTTTCATGATTTTCTAATCTATATGTCCTCAAATTTAGAAATACTATTCCAAAAAATTGTCTTACTACTTTCACAATTTTCTGATGTATATATTCCCATTTTTCTGTTACCCTTAATTCCGTCAATAATAATACACTGTGGATATCGCGAAACAAACAATGAGCCGCTGGTTGGGCTTCCAATTCCCGCGGCCCTCATGATCTTTCTTACCTTCTCTAAATCTGTAATATGATCTTGCGCCTCCAGTGGATTTGAAGATAAAGAGAGTCAGTAGAGTGATTGACTCACATATCCAAATAGGATTTGAAGGGTTTTGCACAAAATTCAACATGATTTGAGTCAAGTCCTCTTCATTCCAAAGTAACAAAAAATATGAGATTATGTACAAAACTGAAAAATAGGTGAGAACATCATGAGCCTCTCGGTGGAATTCTTCCTTAAATAGACCGCTCAATAACAACATATGTCGATATAGCTGACAACTGACCAAAGATAAAAAAAAAGGTGAGCAAAAATCGATCTGAACGGTACAAAGGCCCAAAGGTAACTTACTGATCAGTAAGCTACAGTGTCCTCGAAAGGCTTAAGCTGATTAGGATCAATTACATGGTAATGGACACCTTCACACAGATCGTTGGCCGCATTGTCGTTGCCTTGGACAAATAACGCGTAGAGTTTTAACAGGATAGGGACGTCGCACATTCCCATCGGGATGAAAACATTCGGAGCATAACACTGTATCGCGTGTCGAATCATGTCGCAATCTGACCCCACCAAGTCCTCGAGTTTCTCCACACGGGGTCGACGTACAAATTCTGGGTTTGAAGTAGGCGCTGGCTTGTTTAATGTTGTGTCAACAAACTTATAAAATAGTTTGATCATATCCGGTCTACAAAACGTTGGTAGAATCATTTGGGGTTTCATGCGTGGGAGTATCAAGTCGAAAAGGACGCTCTTGGTGGAAGTCTTTGCATTCGGGTTGATGTACGTAGCCGTAGCATCTCCCATTCTAGTATCGCCTCCGGCAGTTGCACGGTCATCGTTGGTAGCAGCGTTCGATGGTCTGTCCTGAACGGGGGGAAGAACCTTGAGAAGCTCGGGTAGGAATTGTTTTAGGTAATAATCCACGATCTTGGCTTTGCGTGCATGTGAAGGAAGTTCGACTTTGAAGTTGAACCACACCATCATTGATCGCAAATTACCAATAGTAGTTTTACGAGAGTTGTAATCAACATCAGGATGTTTCAGCAAATATTGTAACTCATTTGGGACCGTATTAAGGATGGCGGAATAAGGGTGCTGGATCATTAATGGTATGAATTCTTGAAGCTGATGGTCGGCAGTCGGGCCTGTAATGGTCTTCTGAAGCGGAGTTTTGGCAGGTTGGCTTGTCATGGTGTTACGATTATTATCACCAAAAGGAGCAGTAATTGAAGCGGAGTTGATAATTACGTATGAGGGGTGATGATAAGATAGTATCTGGTAAGTTTGCGAAAGGCTGTCTTTTTTCGCCCTATATATACTTGTTCAAATACTCAGCAGAGTATTCAAAGTCCCCCTCCCGCTGCTGACTTTGATAACTTTCACACTCAGCTCTCCTTCATAGGCAATATGTGATACTCATACTCTTTCACAACTAAACCAGGAATCACCCTGAACGCAGATCCACTGGTCAGCACAGCGCACTTAAGCCTGGAGAAAGGCAACTGATGTGCCACACTTACAACAGGATTGCACAGAGGTTCCCTTTCTTTGTCAAAAGGGAACCCAGAAGAGAGGAACGAAAACGATTCTAATACTTATCTTGAGAATAAAACCAGGCCTTCTTTGCACTTTGCCAACAATTAAAGTCTACCCCTCTCACTGACAATATCCAGTTCGACGCTTTTTAATCAGTCGCACTGCCCTACGTCCAACGCTGATATCCTCTATTCTGCCTATTATATACTACTAGTAATCATGATTCACCCATCACTTCTGAAACCACCCACCGGACCGTTTTACAAGATGACGAATGTCTTCAAGTTCACAATTCCACGCCCTCTTCATAAGTTTATTATCCCGCGTGGCTATGATTATAACCTTGCTTCAGCCGAAGAGCTCGAAGAGATTTTTCAAATTTTCTTTCCCAACACTGTCATCACGAGACCCGTTGGTCCACTCACCAGAGAAGCCTCCATTGAACGCTTCAAAGACTTGGTGCTCCCTTGCATCCTGGCTTGTTCTATCTGGCGTCCTGAAGAAGACTTACTTGTGTATTTTGAGGACATGGTCCACGCGGCTCCAGGTAAGTATCCAGTATACTATGATGTTTCCTTTCGATCAAGCTACTTATAAGCAATTAAACTGTACCTCAGATACCCCTGTAACTTCGGAGCAATGAAGGCGGACCCGCTTGTGCGTTTCGATGAATCCTTGCATCTTCAGGTATGTTTTCAGATGTCTTTTTTCTCTCGAACCTTTTAGTAACAACATAAAAACACAGGAACTGCGGACAAGCCCTCGACACCGCCACAACAATCGGAACGGACAATGATCATGATTCCTCATACTTCTCCTTTGGACCCAGATAGTTCTTGTATGTACATATACAACAGATGCGGCCTAAATTAAATCTGAACAAGACCGGTGTACACTCTATCTTGGCAGTCTTTCGCTCTCTTTGTAAGACGGAAAATAGCTCTTGGGAAAGTTTATCAATTGAATGTTGGGAAGACATGGGATATTTTAATTTTTTCATGTTGTTCGAGTTATGTGTATTTTTTTTCCAGTCTTCATTCAATAATAATATAAAGACAAAGTAACCGAACTTTGCGGTCCATACAATAGCATTCTAGTCCGTGATGATTGCGCGTGACTCGAATACAACTAAAAGAGACAGTTTCAATACATAAGCTGGGCTTGTTGATGAATTCCATTTGAATCCCACTGCCAGAGCCTTGAGATCCTAACTACATATGGATTGTACATATCTACCACCAATCACAAAATCTAACTAGCTTTCCTTATACATTACATTCAGCGAAAGAGAAGAGTTTGAGGCGAGAGGATAACCAAAACCAAGCCATTCACTTTCTTGCCACTCACGATACGGCTAATATAAGAAGGGAAATATGTAAGTCAGTCTCTTAAACATTCATCCCTTTCAGATGTTATCAGGTCAGATACTCACGTCTCGACTCTCCACTATCACCGTTTTGCCTGTCAAGATGAATCAGGTTAGTTTTCGGCGGGTTCTGGCACGTGCCCAGCGGCAACCGCATCCTCGTAGTCACAAGTGCGTTTACTGGGTTTGAATAGGCGAAGATAGGAAGGTATATTCTTTGTAAGTTAGCACATCTCATGAACTTTCACCCCTTTCGATGTTATCACGTCAAAAACTCACGTCTCCTCTGATAATAGGGCCCAAAGGTACGCGGCATCTTTGTAGAAACGTTTCGATGTTTTCTTCATCAGTTTGTGCTGTTCGAGTGACTCTTTGATTTGCCTCTTGTATAGCTTACGGTGACGAATCACATCGGGGTCCGTCGAACGCAACAACATCTTGCAGTACGACATCACCTTTTCAGTGTCGTGGACCTTGGCGACGATGTTTATAAGGTGATCCTCTACCATGTAAGCCGTGCTTTCTATTGCGTCAAGCTCCAAGGTGCTTAGAAAGTTGTATTTTTCTACGTGGGTCGCAACGGCATCCTTGACTTCGAAGATGTGGTAACGCGTGAGGGAACCTCTAACGGAAATGTTGAAATCGCTGGCACGGTCATCCGGATTAGCCCTCGACAGTAATGAAAGTGGCCTTCGATCGTGAACAGCTAAGTTTTGCAACTCGGGCATGAGGCCGCGGTCGTCATCCAGTAGAAAAGGTGGGAGCATTATCACTTTCTGATACCTCAACAATAAAATCAGCTAAGCATATATGAATCGAGGTAAGGAAGCACCAGGTGCACTTATAGATTGGGGGAATCGGGTGCGAAATGGCCGAAATGTTGTTTTTTCAAGTCAACTGTCAAGGTAGTTTGGAACAAATTCAAAGTTCTTATGAAGAAACCCACCGTATCATGACTTGCAAGGGGGTGCAGGGTACACCGGTGGTAGGCCAGTCAGGGTTAGTCCCCGCCTGCACAGACAACTTCTCGCCTTTCAAAGAAAGATTATGTACGTACTGACCAAACATTATTTCACCTGTTTCCCCACGGACCCACATACATATGTACCCTCCTCATACCAAACAAGACCGAACAATATGGACCACGTTATCACCGTTTTTGCTTTCACCGACCATTAACCCCATTTGCTATCAGCAAACAACGACTGTTGTGATTCAACCCTTGCGAGTTTGACAATATGCGCGCACATGATTTCGGCTACCTTTTTCACAACACTCAGACTGATGCTTCCGCTTTGTTGCTCAAGTAACCAGCTCGATCTTTCAGTTTCAACCGCTTAGATACCCTCTGAATACATCGCCATTGTTTCATCGTATGATTTTTCATATATTTACCGCAAGCAAACTCTTTCTTTCAGATTCTCTCGGTCATTCATATCACTCAATTCATTCATATACGGCTTATCCAATTTTTGGATTTTCAACCCATCTCCGCACTTATATATAGATTCAATTGAAGGGCTTCTGCATCAACGATGCCTCCGCGTTCTACTTACCGGCTTGCTGTCTGTCGATGTATCACTCATTGTTGCGGTCAGCAGCTATACATCGATGCCAATGGAGAAGATCAGAATGGCAATTGTGTCAGTGTTGCGACAATGAAGGCCCATCAACTGGCAGACCAGTTTCGCCACTTGTCTGTCCACGCTCCTCAAGACTTGTTTCCAACCCCGCGCCCTCACATACCCACCAATTCGCAGTCCTCTTCCTCCCAAGATTCGCAACCGGGTACACCAACGCACAGCTCATCTTCTCGGAGCAGCCATGAGGCTCGTCATGCGTCTCCCGAAGCTGGCGGTAGTAATGATCCACCACGAGCTCATGGAACTGAATCTCAAAATCAGGCCTCTTTTGATACAAGTAAGTGAATCAATTACCCGTTCTGTGTGAAGACCAGCTGACTTACTCTTTTGCCAGCGTTATACATGTCACATAAAGTATATGGCATTGATCCGGTCCAGCTGTATCCTCTTTTGTTCGCTGCGTCACTTGCGGTGTTTGCGAATTTATCATCCCTCAACTTGAATTGGGTTTTGAGGTCCCAACGTGATTACATCCAATTAGTCAAAGAGGCTGGATCGACGTCTACTGAGGCCCGCACGAAATTATTATATACTCAACAAAGAGAACTTGAAGAACTACCTGTTGACATTTCAACAGTTTTTGTTGCACTCAATCTCAACCCTTGCCTTGCAGTCCTCAACACTTGCCCATCGTGCTTTGCTTTATACCGGATCGGTCACACTCCAGAGCTATGTAACTTCCCCGTGAACACCGTCCCTGGGTTATTTGAATCGGCATTCCTTCCACCTTCGCTCGAAATTCCAGATGTCCACGTGGTCCAAGAAGGCGCTGTCACTTGTTCTCGACCGCTGTTCAAGGACCGTCGTCCCATCCGTCAAACTGGATTCCAGGACCTCGAGGCATGGCTTGCACGGTTCATTTGTCGGCCAGGTGTCGAAGAATCACTGGATGAATCCCTGATTGATTCTTGTCAACCTTATTCATCGAAGCAAGAAATTCACGACATCCACCAATCCTTTGCGTGGAAGAATTTCAAAGCTCCTGACGGATCCCAGTTCACTTCTCGAAGCGGAAACCTTTCATTTTCCATGTTTGTTGACGGCATCAACCCGTATGGCAACAAACAGAGTGGTCGCAAAGTATCGATCACATTCATCGTCCTTATATGTTTAACATTGCCTTTCAAGATCAGATATTCCCCCGAAAATATCTTCATTGTTGGAATCGCCCCCGGTCCTAGTGAACCGTCTCTTGAACAAACAAACTGGATCCTCTCTCCAGTTGTTATCCAGCTTAAACGGCTTTGGTCAACAGGGATTTTCCTATCCAAGACTCCACAGCATCCTCAAGGTCGCTTAATTCGCGCGGCTCTCCTTACGTTCGTTGCCGACCTTCCGGCGATCCGTCGTACACTTGGATTAGCTAGCATAACCTCTACGAACTTTTGCTCTTTTTGCGGCCTTCCGCTTTCTGAAATTCACAACATCGATTACACCACTTGGCGTTGTCGGAATTTTGATGAGCACAAAAAACATGCCTACGCTTCCAAGAACGCGGCCAGTCCTTCAGAACGTCAAAAGATTTTCGAGAATCACGGCGTGCGCTATTCCGTCCTCCTCGAGCTAGACTACTGGAATTTAATCGACTTTCAGGTCGTTGATTCAATGCACAACCTCTTATTAGGGTTACTCAACTGGCATTGCCGTCGTTTTTGGGCTATGCAAGATGACGAGGAGGACGAACCAGAGCCACGACCAGCAACTGTACCTGAGATTCAAGATTTACTTAATGATATGGCTTCCGAACACTCTGAAGAACCTTTTGATTCGGTACCCGGCGACCTTCCAACATCAGCATCTGGCGTGCATTTTAATGACCTGGCCTGCAGTACAGATAATTCATCCACAGATCCAGACTTTGAGAACACAGGTTGGAATGGTGTGTGGGTTGAACCCCACGAGGACTGTATTGTATTCGACAAAAAGATGCTCTCTCGAATAAATGCACTGCTTCCTCGAGTTCATCTTCCAACGTGGATTCAGCGACCCTGTCCGACCTTGGGTAAGAAAAGCTACGGGAAGCTCAAGGCTGATGAATGGAGGAATCTATTCACTGCCCAACTCCCCCTGATCCTTGTCCCGATTTGGAGCGATGGCGATCAGGGCCACCTGTCCTTGCTACAGAACTTCGCCCATCTGGTATCATCAGTGAATCTCGCTCTCAAGCGTTCGATGTCGGCAGAACGAATCTCTCGCTATCGTACCCACCTTCACTCTTACATGAAGGGAGCTCATTTACTTTTCCCGCATTGTAAACCCGCACCCAATCACCATATGGCGTTCCACCTCGCCAACTGCCTTGAAAAATTTGGCCCCGTCCGAGCTTGGTGGTTGTTCCCTTTTGAACGATTGATGGGACGAGTCCTGAAGGCCTGTCACAACAACCACCTGGGTGAGGAATCTCATATGATGGCATCCACTTTTTTCTTTTTTGTGTTCCTGATCAAATCCGTTCTCATTTCAGGTGAACTTGAAATGACTTTTCTCAAAAGCTTCTGTCGGGCTGGAAATCTTGCAGCTATACTCAGAGATGGAAGACTTCCCGATGCAATCGTTCCTTATCGCACCCAGCTCTTGCGCATCATCGAACCCGAAACATTCGTTGCCAAGTCCTCCAAAAGCTCTGACTCACGCTCACCGATTGAAAATGGAATCTTCCAACAATTGGTCCAGCGCCTGAACTTCGAAAAATTTGACAATTGCAGATGGATCCCGTCGACAGAGTGGTGCCTCCTGTCAAAAGAAGCTTCAGCTCGTTATTCTCCGTTTATTACCTTGGCAAGACACGTACCACGTATAACTCGGGACGGGATCATCTTTTCCACCAAATCTGACAATCCGAACAACAGTGTAGTAATTACTAAATCACTCCGAGGCGGCATCATAACCTTTGGTCAGATAGAGTCAATTTTTCATCATCGACGAGTCCCAGTGTTAGACGGACCCTTGATTACCGACACTTGGATTTCTATTCAGTTTTTCCCCCCCGTCCCTGCGTCAAAACCGAATCCTTTTAGAACACTGGCGAAGCCAGATGTAAGATGTACAAGCCTGCTTGCGTCTCAATATCCCCCAACCGCCTTTCCTCATTCATATTGATGAGATCGTTGCGCACTGTGGTTGGCTTTCGTATGGAGCTAGTGAAGTAACTCACCAACTGGACATGGAAACTATTGCGTTGGTTTCCTTGGATCGATGACCTTGACAATCATATTCCAGGTATGTGGTACAGTTCATTCTCTTGTGTAATCTGTTTGACACTAATCGCTGTCCCACTTTTGAACACAGCCTCAAATCAGTGAATGCACGTAGACTACTTGGGATCCGTGGATGCGTAGTAAGGGATGTGCTTGGATTAAAAGCAACTGATATGTGAGCAATTCAACTCTATTTGAATTGTGTCTTATAAAGCTCTATTCTACACTTTTTTATATCTTTCACACACGCCTTCCAGCTTTTATGCTATGTAATACAAATTTTTCATATCAAAAATGGCCCCTTTAATCAGATTATATTACATGGCAGAATACAAAGATGAAATGAAATACAAGACTTCACAATACAGAGAAAAGGCTGGATTATATAGATTTCAGCATTGTGACAAGACCAACATAACTCCTAGCTTTTGAGAGTGGGGTCCCTGCAAAATGAGATACAATCCCAGAAATTGACTTGTGATCAGTGATGTCTTTCCTGACCTTGGTATGTGCCTTTTTGACATTGAAAGCCAATCAATTATTTCTCAAGCACATATTCACCAGTGAAAAACCATTACATTTTTCAATTATTTTGGGTCTCAACTCGATCGTTTCTCACCTTGGAGAAATCCTCTTTCCTCGCAGTGTCAGTCTCTCATCACTGTTGCCATTCCTCTGGATGACCATCTGTATCTGTGCACCCAAATATCACATCCTCTGTCCTCCTTCAGTCTCTCATCAGTGTTTCCATTCCACAAGATAACCACCAGATCTGTGCACTTAAACAACACCTTGTTCACATCCCATTAGGCTGGATTTGATCTCTACACTGACCAAATTCATGATTATTAGTCAACCATCCAGTCAAGTCTCTCCCTCTAGATTATGCGGAAGTCTAGACATTGTGGTAGTTTAGTTGTAGGGTGATATTGCTTGCTAGAATATTTCAACATTATCTTCACCAGATGTGTGTATGTGTATATAGTCAATCCAATCTTTCTCTGTGAACCAAGTTGAACTAACGTGCGATCAGAGTTATCGACCCTTGTTGACTGAGGTGATTCACTTGAGTCACAAAATCTGACATTCAGTCAGATTTCATCAGTCATCTCAATCATCCAAGTCAACAAGGCAATAACTTTGATTGCACGTTAGTTCAACTTAGTTGAAAGAGAGAGATTGTATTTATTAACTCATGCTTCTTTGTAATTCAATTAGTTGAACCAACGTGCTATCAAATTTATTGACCCTTGTTTACTTGGATGATTGAGATGACTGATGAAATCTGACTGAATGTCAGATTTTGTGACTCAAGTGAATCACCTCAGTCAACCAGGCAATAACTTTGATAGCACATTAGTCAGACTTGGTTAAAAGAGAGAGATTGAATTTATTAACTCATGTTTCTTTGTAATTCAATCAACAGACAGCTTTGGTGTAGCAATCCTCAGGTTTAAAACCTGCTTCAAACTGTCCCAGATTCATCATGTCGCTTGTCCTTGGTAGTTGAAAGAGTTGGGGACTGATAACCCAAAAGGATTTTGTAACCCTAAACATATTGATTCATGTGATCTTTGGTGAGGTGTTGCTCAAGGAGCTCTTGATTTGGTCAATGAGTAATATTCTCAATATCTGTCAACTTATGTTTTGCTGTAGAAGCTTTGGAAGGGGCTCAGAAGGATATTTGGTTGTGGCTTACCTGAGAATCACTCATACCTTCCAAACATTCTCAAGTCTTCATGTGTGGACATGCAACCAAACTTTATTTCAGTTCATTTTGGAAGATTGTTTGTCTGCCCCTCTAGGCCAAACATTGAGATTGAATTGAGCTGGACGTACTCACTGGCCTGCCAGTGAGTAGTAAAATGTCACTGTGTTTACATTGCAGCGCAATGTAGCGCTGCTTACCCGCTGTTGCATTGGTGGTGTATGCCTTTTGAGGGTCTCACAAGCTTGCCTGTTGAAACTCCCGGATGCAATGCAGAATATCTATCATCACCTGGATCTATCCTTGGATCTAATCAACCTATATACAACCCCCAAAGATGAACCCCACCTCATCAAACTATTCCTGTTTCACAAACTTGGGTCCTTTCAGCACACAACAGGGCAATCTTGCTAGTAGAGATGAATCAAATATATGGGGCCAAAAGAGACAGATGGAAAGTGAAGAATCAAAGAAATTTGGTGCCGCCAACACTTTGGAGGGTGCTTGAATTCCACTTATAGGAATTTTAGGTCCAGTGTCTTGTGCTGTCAATATGACTACTCAACCTATCATTGCTGGGACACCCAAATCAGTTACCACAGACCATGGGTCAAAGCATACTCCAGAGTTATCAACACTCAGGCACCTGATTGGCCAGTATCTTTTGCTAGAGATGCATGGGACAACATCATTTCCTTTTGCAACAATGGCTTGAAGTTTTTCTCCAAGAACCTGTGTTAAATGTATCCTTCAATGTATCCATGGACATATTCCCTCTTCCAATGAATTTTTCAGACTGGGTGTAGCAAAATACCACATGACATATGATCAAATTCAAATTCATGTGGACGCAAAGGCCCAAAAAAAGTCCTCACAGGGCCCTTCACCAAAAACAACATCAGCTTGATTTTCACCCCAGGGGTGTACTTGCAGACTGTCCCTCAAGACAAATATGACTGGTTGACTGCAATTTCAATGAGTCTTACTCTACAAGAGTAACAACACAACCTACTGTGGGTATAGATATGTAGCCTTTTGGTGTCTTTATCTCAGGATCCTCTTCAAAAGGGTCAGGGCCCTCATGCCTGGTGGTTTCATCCAAGCCAATGAGAGCCACCCACTGTTTAGAGCCAATACCGGGACCTCTGGACCCCTAGAATCAGATAGTGTTGATATCAGCCACCACATAGTTGGCAACATCAACATGCTGTCTGACATCTTAGGCTCTGGTCTGCTTCAATATTTTGAAGTCTTTGATGATTGAATTCGTTGACATATGCATTCTACTACTGGATTTAAATCCTCCGAAAAAAATCTTCCGGATCTCCGAGTTTGGGAGTGGCTGTGCCCATCTCCATATACCTGCGCCAATTCCAGCTGTGCCCCCATTTGGAAGAATGTTGTCCTTCTTGCAATTCATGTGTAGCAAACATTCCAGAGATAGGTCCCCTCAGCAAGACATCACATTTGCAAAGTGATCTGTTGTTCCACACAATCCGACAGACTGGCATATCAGTCAAACATGGTGAGTAAGCTTTAATTCTGAATTGAGCAAACCACACCGGTCAAGTGTGTCCGAAGAATTTGGCAGCAAACCATTTTTGAGGGATCCTTGTTCAATGTCTTAGCAAACATGGAGAATCACTCACTTTTGAACTATCTAGAGGAGCTACAGATGAATTGTCAAGCACGGAAACTACTTATGACTTTCAAGAATTTGTAGCGGGTCATTCTGGGAAGGTGAGTATGGCTTTTCATTGTTACATGCTTCCAACATTGCAGAAATCCAATGTCTTGGAGGCTTTTAAGTTTTCTGTTGCTTCATGATATCTGAGAAGTTTTGAACATCCCCATATGCTGATTACCATGGGCAGTGAAGAAATTCCAAAAGGTTTCACCAAAGAAATATGTTGGCTAGAAATTGAAATTCAGCTTGGAGGATAGTGATTTACTCTCCCAGACCCTTCAAGCTTGGTCTCACTGGATATTCATTATGTACCAAGGTGAAGTGTTCCCAGGTGAAACTTCTGCAGAAGGACATATGCGGTCTCACTGCCAGATGGTGGATTGCAAGTATGTTAATCCCCAGATTTCCATTGGATCAAAGATGGTTGCTCACTTTTTTTACATGTTTTCCTTTCAGGGCTTGGTGGTCAGCTGAAAATTCAAGGGGAAAAGGTGTTTTGTCCTTTTTGAACTTACATGAATGTTTGTCATCATGTTTGGACTTGGGTTTTTTGCCAGTCAAACAAGATGGATACAGACCCAAGTGGACAGCAACATGGTTGGGGAGTTTGGAAGCCAGCCCTATGTAAGCTGCTAATGTGCTGCACGCTCCTCATGGTGATGGTTTGTATTGGGGAAATGTCTGATCCACACAAATCAGCAGTCCCTCTACCAAAAATGAAAAGGAATACAGTTTTGTTGTACATGTGTTGCCTTGTTACCTGATGCCGAGGGTTCCTGAGGATTGTTTGTCCTTTTGTTTGGATAAGATATCTGCTTCCCTGTTCTTGTTTCCTGTGTAAACCCCAGACAGAAATGAGGTCTTTAGAAATTAACACACAGAGGTACTCAAGCACCTTATCTGCCGCCCCACAAGTACACATACATTATTATCATTGGCACACTGCCATTAAACAAGGAGATATGACGTAGAGTTTATTGATTTTGGTACACTACCTTCCAACCATGCTGAAGTGAACACCTCAGTATTATTATTGGGCACACTGCGGTTCTAACAAAGATGTGTGACAAGGATAATTGGCAAGGGCAGTCTCAGGCACCCCTGTTTATATTCTTTGGATTGATATGCCTTTCATATGCTTCCCATCAAAAGCATCAAGTTCTTTTGATAATTTTGACTTAAAAGCATGAAGTGCTTATGATGCTTTTTGCTTGAAAGTGTTGGATGCTTCAAGCTTTTTTTTACTGAAAATCATCCAGTTCTGATTATGCTTTTAAGAGAAAGCACATGCATTTATTGGGATCACTTATACAGACGTATAAGTTGTTTATTGACATTGTTCATCATTAATACCATCCATGATACTTGCTGCAGATAACTAGGTTTATATCTATGTTGACTGACTTTAATCATTTTATTTTTAAAGTTTACAACATTATTGGAATTGTCCTGTGTTCAATATGCACTTTGACTTTGGTTTTGGGGGTTGTAGACTTTTGGGGAATGTTGTCGAAATCCTACGCAGCCTCCTCAGCACAGCACCCTTAAGACTTGAGTGAATCCACTTATGGAACCTCTTAAAAGGCTTTGTTTTGATAGTGTTCATAATATGTTTTGAAGGGTATTCTTCAAAATACATTATGATCACCAAAGGGCTGTTAATATGTCTGAGGGAAATCTTATTTCAAATCATGATGTCAAGCTATGTACTCAAATGGCCATGTCAGGTACTTCATTGAGTGACCTGTCAAAAATGATCTCATCAAACCCGTTTAAACCAAAGGATTCACAGATTCAATACACATCAAAAAGCAAGAATGAACATAAATGAATTGCCTCAAGAAGAGTATTTGACCCCTCGATGGATTTCCAATCCTTCACAACAATATTTGAGTATTTTTTTTGGTAAACACCATGAGAGAGAGAGAAAGTAAGATCAATACAAACAAGAATTTCCCATTGAATTTTTGGGGACTTATCTTCACACACGTCAACTCTCGTTTTGAGACTGAGACAACTTTTGGAAAAAACCACCATAGCCCCTTTCACACATTTCATAGTGTGTCAAGATTTACAAACACATAGAGGTCTGGGTATAGACAACACGACTCTGCTACAATAGGTGTATTGCAGCCCCACCGGGTGATGATCAGATTGGCTCTTTTGGTCTTTATTTGCATTTGATTGGCAGCTTCTTGGATGTGGTTGTCCATGATTGTTTGTGATATACACAGCATTTTCTCTAGATCTGGGAATCAGTGTTTGATTATTTTGTCCACATCAGCAGAAGGGATTTGGGTCATCCCTTGCTCCCTGTCCAACTGAGCCGGATTATAATACAATACATTGGGACAGCAGCTTGTTGGGAGAGCTAAATTGCGGTTGTGTTGGTTTTTTTTGGTGTTCTTCTCAACTTGGTATTCATTCATGAAGGATTGTATCAAAGCTACTCCAATATCACGGAACACTACTCTGGTTAAAATCTTTCTGTCAGCAATCAATCATTCACTTTGAATTATGACCAACAAATTACTTTTCAAGCAGATCATAAGGATTATAGTGTTTTATAACTCTCTCAGAACACAGCTGAAAGAGCCAAGAAGGGGAGGAAGAAAGATGAAAAGAACACACACACAAGATGAATAAGTCTTGAAATGGTGAATGGAAGGACTTAAAACAAAAAGAAGAAATCAACTTCTTAAACGGGGACTATGACTATCAATGAATTAAGTTTAAGACCTACAAGTCTTTGGATTGATAAGAGCCAGGCTAAAAGAGGATAATAATTCAAAGAAAGACTATCTAGGAGGACACATGCACATGCCCGACGAGTAAATGAGTTATTAACTCAACAAGAAATTAACTGGAAGTAAATGAAGGGTCTATTATGATAAAATTCCAATTCTCATTAGTTGTTTACCTGAATTAATGATCAAAAGATACTAAGCTTTATTCTTGATTCAAATGATGATTTTTGCTAACTCAAACACTACCAAAGGTAGTGAAAGATACACTTGCATATAAAAAATTCAAAAGCACACAAGGGGAGAAAGTGGGACAAAAAACCCCTTTCAAACAGTTCTTTCACACAGTAGCTCCCAATCAACCCCCAGAAGAAAATTGACAGAGTCAGCTCACACGGATGAACAATGTACAGAATGTAAAGCTCAAAATCAGCACTAAAACTCAGCTGTTTACCTTAAAAACTCAAATTGATGCCAATTTACCCTTCAAGCTGAAACATAATGAGATTTAGGAAACATACAAAAATTCTGAAGAGATAGAAACAAAGAGAATTTGATGCTATACAACTTTGCTTGTTCAAGCTGAACTCTAACTTTGATGGTTGGTAGTGTAAATTGTGATTGAAAAATGCACAAAAAATCCAAAATATGGGTTGTCCTAGTTGACCACCCCAGTTTATCACCACCCCCAATTGTAGAGTTGTTGGATTTTCGAAATTTGACCTTTAAACCCATAAGTAAGACCCATATGTTTTCCTGTACACCTTAATAAATCCATATATAACATATGATTTCAAAATTTAAACTTATCGCCTGTACTCCACATATCCCATACACCCCCTAAGCTACACATAACTCCTACACCATAAAAGTAAAAAAGAAACAAGAGATAAAAGAATTAAAAGATAAAAAAATGAAAAAATGAAAAATAAACAAAAAACAAAAAATTAATAAAACATAAAAAAGAACTCAAATAGAAATAAAAATAATTTCAAAATAAAAAATAAAAAATAAATAAAATAATAATAAAATAATAAATAAATAAATGAAAAGTACAGCAAACAATGAAAATAGAAAAAAGTTACATAAATTAAAGAAGAATATTAATAATCATGATAGGGGGTTTCAAGTTGAAATGTTTGATGTATTTTTGCGCTACAAATTGTTGTAAAATTTGCGTTCACCTTTTTAGGTGTTATGCGTTAACAATACATCGATTTTGCACAGATTTCTTTTACAAAAGACTTGCCCAAATTTCAAAAAGGTACACAAAAAACATATGAACTTGAAAGCCCCTATTTAATAATCATATGTATGTAATAATTAGTAAATACAGTATAAATATAAATAGAAAAATTCAATCAAATAATAATACAAAATAAAAAATAAAAAGTAAAAAATAAAAAATAAAAAATAAAAAATAAAAAATAAAAAATAAAAAATAAAAAATAAAAAATAAAAATAAAAAATAAAAATGAAAAATATAATGGGGTGTGTACAGATTGATCCTGATCACCACAACAGTGAAACCAGGGATGTGCATCAGCCTGGCAACAAGACTGGATATAATGGGAACTGCAAAGATAGAGTCCGTGAAGTTACACAATAAGTGAGGGTAGTACGTGCAGAGAGACATATAATACTAAAAATGCTATATGTGTTCATTGACACACAAAAGGCTAGGTGATGGTGTACTTTGTGTAGAGACTGCAAGACAAAATTTCAATGTCATGATAGGGTGGCACAACAGTGAAATTGCTCACAACAAAAAACATGAGGCAAGAACTTGAAGGGCCGGGGAAGGAGGTCAATGTTGGGGTTTGGGGTGGGGCATCATGCAGTGATATGATGTTGATGGTGGTATGTGGGGGTGTTCAACAAGACAGTTGTCTTTATAGGTGTCATGGAAGGGATGGCATGTACAGTGAATTGTGAAGTTAGGCACATTAATCAAAACCATCAAGGGGCCAAGGATAGCCAAAATAACTGAGGTGGTGCACTCAGGGTACATGTGCAATGACTGTGCATTCAAACGTGTGCAAGAAGACCCCTTCATTGTTCCGCCAGAACTGCAAGTTGTTTCATGGCTTCAGACACAGCCAAGTAAGTGTCATGAAGTACCTATAATCATGCTGATTTCACATTTCACTCTTTTCAGATAAGATGCTCATTGAGAGTGATACGGAAGCCCCCTGGAAACAGCCAGATGTGTTCAATATCACCCTTCTGAATAATGTTTTGCCTGATGCTAAAGCCAAAGAGGTATACTGCACCACCTGTGTACAAAATGTGCTCACTATTTTCTACGCTCCCACCACTTACTGGGTGGATCAGGATGTACGTATCATTGTTGCTGCCATCACCTACGCCAGGATGGATAACCAGCACATACCTGTATTGTACACCATGCCTGCTGCTACCTTCCCAAATCCCTTGATTCAAAACAGCCTCAAAGCTGCCCATCACTTTCACACACTTCAAGAGGACAATGATCAAACTGCAACACTTGATATGTGTACGGAGGTGATGTCCCGTATGAACAGTTGTCTCTACGCAATTTTTGACACCATTGCCAGTCTTCAAGCCCGCTTCTAACATGCCCAGAATGTCTCCCAAACACCTACAAGCTCACAGGATCAGCTGATTACTCAATTTGAGAAGCTCACAAGCAATTTAGGTACTGGCACCCTTGCATTGAATATTCTTGGCCCACTTGTTGCTTCCCTGGTGTACGGGATCAAGGGGCTGCTGGTTTACCCCAATGACGTGAAAAGATTTGGCATTGTGAAGCTTGCTCACTTCTTTGCCCTAGTAGACCACATTCACACTCAACAGCCCATTGAAGAACCTGTCTGGAACAATACCCAAAATCTGATTCTAGATACAATTGAAGCCATGTCTTTGCCTCAAGGTTTTGAAGCAGCAAGGGAAGCGGTTAATTCTGGCAACTGTGATGGTGACTGGCATCATCAAGATTTGTCTAAAGTAGAACTGGCTGTCACCATTGAAAGGGACCTTGTCAACTTTTGTGAAAGCAGGTCACTCTTTGAAGCAGGCAATGCTTTTTCAGGGTTTCCTCTGCCAGACATCCCTGCTGGACAAGGTCTGCCAAAGTGTTCCAAAAAAACCAGCAAAAGGCAATGTAATTCCTGGAATCAGTAGGATTTCCTCACTTTGCACTTCTGGCTAAGAGTGATTTCAACTGTTATACTCAGGTGATGTGGGTCTTGCAAGTAGCTTATACTCACCTCTCCAACCACACTACTTGTTCAAAAAAGTGGTTGTGACGATTTGGTACCAATCACCAGATCTGTAACTTAGGGCTTGTCATTATACTCCATCAGTCAATATATGGTCAGTTGGATGTATCATGCCAAATGGAATTTGGCTAATGGATATCTTTTGCACTTCTGGGTCAAAAAACTTGATAATTATCTCATCAGAAAGCCATGGACTTCATTTAAATGTTATGATAATGCATCAACTCTGTAGCTCTGCTACAAAAACAGTTATTTGTCTTTGAGACTATCTCCTATATAGCCACATAGATACTCTTTGGAGTTGGATACAGATTTTCTGTCTCAATGAAAGATATAGTCACAGAGTTTGGCTTTCCAATGAACTACAAATTGAGTGGGTTGACTGAAAATTGATAAATATATAAGGGATTGTTGAATTCAAATTGTGCCCTTGTCACCCATTAGCCAAATTCCAATCTCTGTTACAGGTTGTAATCTGATGATCCTGGAGGTTTTTTGTTGGTACAATCAATGGTTTTCACACTCAAAATACAAAAATATACTCAAATCTCAGGTCTCATCCATAGGAACAACATGCATATTTCTTTGTATTTATCTCTCTCTTCCTGACTGCTCAATATCTATGTGTGTCAGGTTTTATATTTTCCTCATATATTCTGCACAGAAAATATTATATTTTGTGTAGTGTTTGATGGATTGTGGTTTTAAAAATATGAAAAGTTGGGCCGGACAATTGGAATGCACCAAAGGGCCTAACCATTATTTTTTCATATTTTTTCTGACCCTTACCAGCTTCTCAATAATTTTCTACGTCTTTTCAATTTTCTAAACTTAGTGGCAAATTTGCAATTTGGCGTAGTGAAAGCTGGGTAATTCAAATATACGGATTCATTGATGCTTGGTCTATATGTACATGTCACAAATAGCAACCCTTGGCACAACAATATATATTATTTTGATGTGGTGAAACGCCATGGTGGTATCCCACAACATCTTGACACTGATTGTGGCACTAAGACTGGCAAGATGGCAGCCAGCCATGCTACTCTTGTTTGTGTATTTGGCAGTCTAGAAGAAGTTCAAACGGCACAATTACACTAAATTCGTTAACAATCAAAAGATTGAGTGCTTTTGGGGTCAAATGTGTCAAAGCCATACACATGGGATCATTAATGGATTTTATGAGTTGCTGGAAAAGGGCCAATATGACTCCGATAATATTTTGGATTAGTAAAATCCATTGGATAAACTGATGAATGATGATAAAAGATCAAGCCTTCAGTACCTGATAATGTAGAAAGCATTAAGAATGAGGAGAGATACATCAATTCAAGTGAGATTAGTGATAATGTGGGGCCTTGTCCGTCCTTGCTTGCTCTTGCTGCTGTGGGGTCAAGTCTGGGGGTTGATGTTCTCTTAGAAAATGGCGGGCAAGGAAAGAAACATAAAGGTTTGGTATCTACATTCTGCCTTTGGGCATCCCTTGGCTGTATAAGATGATGCCTCTGTAAGCTTTGGGGCCTTTGTAGCCTTTTTTGAAACCAATCCTTCTGAGTTGCCTCACTGCCAACATATTTACCTCAGATTTTCCATCTACTTCTCATAATTAAGATCTGCCTGTGCAATTACGTCTGGCAATGGGCAGGATGTCAGCAAGGTCATTTCAAAAAGGGAGAGTTGACTGGGCACTCACAATTCTCATCCACTTGAGCAGCCAATGCTTGTGCCATATGGATTATCTCCATAGAATCTGGGTGTGGTGGCTAAATCTGGCTTCTGGTTGGGGAAGCAGGATTCCAATGATTCCCCTTGACGGTGGAATATCCCAAGCTCCAGCGGATTGACCTTTGCATAGATATTTCTAGCCAAAGTGTTGTCAAATTTGGAAGATCCTGTGTAGAGGTCAGTTGTGCCCTTATTGAAAGCCTGTCAAGAATGATTTAGGCCAAGACGCACGGCTTCGGGATTGAAGTTGTGTTTCAGATGTTCTGGCAGATTTGTGTTGTCCTTGGCAAACCCACAACAAAGTCCATGAAACGTGAGGCAGTGAAGCAAGCCAGAGATATTGTGAAGCAGTTGAATTGATTCCAAGGCTTGATTGATCCTTGCAGCAGTTCCAATTTTTAACCCATAAGGTGTATGGTCCATCACAAATATGGCTGGATAAGAAGGTGACTTCCACTTGACGTGTCCATCCTGCAAAAGGGCTGCATGGTTCAAGACATTGTGTTTTGTATTCCACCCAACCACCAGTCCATGTCGCAGGGTATGAGTCAGCAACCAAACAATTGGACAAACGCCAGGGTTTTCAACATGACAGTGTTTTTATTTTCAGGATTGTTCACTTCTTTATACCCCTTGTCATACTTCACATGAATAACACAAGCTAAAATATCTTTTGAGGAATATTGGTGACAACAAGCCATAGAGAGCGTAGTTGGTTGGACTGTAATTATGATGTCTTCATGTAAAAGACATTCATTTTTGAAATACTGGTGGCTTAAGGTGACCCCCCCAACGTGGCAACCGGTTGCCACTGCAAGGTTGATGGTCAAGAGTTGAGAGATGGGTACATTCCAGTTCGTTGCCCCTCTTTGGTGAAGGTGGAAGAGAAGGAAGTTGTGGATGTGAGTGACTGTTTGATAGCCCAGGGCCTGACAATCATAGAAATAACTTCAGCAGGGAAAGACCCAAGAAAAGTGTCATTCTTAAAGTTGTCCTGTAGCTTGCCTTGTCACATGCATTGGGTTTCACATTGTGAAAGTTGAGAGTGATCCATTCTCTAATCAACTTCATGTAACCAACAATGGTAGCAAAAGAAATCTTGCCCTTTCTCTGAATCCTTGGTTGCATAAATCCAGCAAAGATTGTCATGCCAGCCATATTGGCAATCACATCCCTCAGCTACTAGGCTCTGGCAGGCCAGAGACTACCACACCTTCATGAAAGATTTGGAAAGATTTCAAATTACTTCCATTTGCCTGTCTGACCACCAAAATTCCAATGTCATCATATGACATCATAAATCCATACACACCTGCTCCTGTATTCACAGATCAAGAAGATTTAGTCTATTAAACTTTATCATGTAAATTGACTGAGGTATTGAGGTTTGAAACAGAGTCATGGATAAAAAATACTATTTTATACTATACATAAGACTGAGATCTTGGATATCTTATATCTTTATCAATATACATATAAAATCAATTTCATATTCCACCGTACAATACACTTCTCTACATTTCTTATTTTGGCAGCCTTTGTCCAAAAGGCATATTTCTATATGTAATTGTGAATTCTACATGAGCAGTCCAATCTTTCCTTGATTTGTTGATTCTAGGAAGGATATGAATAAATTGATGGCCAAAACTTTTGGAAATCATTATCTACATTCATATCAGTCTATTTGTGCCTAACTTTTGCCCGACATTCCATCAAAATTTCCCTCAAGGTCAAAGAACTTCAGAAAATCCAACTTCTGTATATACTCTGCAATTACATATAAAAATACTACCCATTGACAAACGCTGTAGGGAACAGAAATGTGGAGAAACATAGTGCGGAAAATATTATCAAATTTAATATCTATGTATGTTGACAAAGATTGAAGATATTCAACATCCCAATTGTATGTATAGTACAAAGATAGTATTTTTTATCTGTGATTTTTTTTCAAACCTCAATTACTCAGTCAATTTACATGATAAAGTTTAATAGACTATATATCATTGTTCTGTGAATAAAGGTGCAGGTGTGTACAGATTTGATGTCATATGATGACATTGGACTTTTGATGGTTGGACAGGCAAATGGCCCCACATGATATTATGTTGAAGTCATTTTGAAATCCTTCTGAATCTTTCATGTATCTTGTATGGAGTCAGTGGGAGGCTCTGGCCTGCCAGATCCAAGTACTTGGGGGCTGTGAATACAAGTCTGAAGCTCTAAGAGAGTGGGCACTTTAGCCAAGAAAGCTTTTTTGTCCAGGTCTTTGTAGGTTTGTGCTTGAATAGCTTTGAAGTAATCAAAATCATCCTTTCGGGCTTTTTGTGTTGATGAAGCAGTAGGGCTGTTGTAGGTGGGTACTAACTCCACTGGAACACTGATTATGCCACGCTCAACTATTGCCGCAAGCCTGTATGGCATGATGGCTGCGTGGTTTAAAGAAAGTTAGTCACAGTTCATTGGAGCAAAGAAGGCAGTAAAGGCTTGCTTAACTCACTCAGGTTATGAAAGGAGGTAGGTTGCAGTGAAGAGAGCAATTGAAAGAGATGAGATGGATTGGAAAGATGAGATCAATTGGCAGCTAGAGTTCAGGAAGGGATCAGGCTATGCTGCTAGAAAAGAATAGACCAATTGGCAGCTAGATTTCAAAAGAATGGATTGATGAGCAGCTAGAGTTCAGTGAAGAGGATATTGAAGTATTGAAATTTATGGTGAAATAGAGAATGGTCAGAAAAATGCTAGAGTGAGTTGCGGTCAACAGGGATCAAGAAAGTCAGGAAGAAGTAAAACAATGATGTTGTGAGTAAAAGGCAGAGGTAAAAGGCAAAGTAAAGAGAAATTAAAAATAAACACATCTCACATCTTGATTTTTCAAACCACATGTCTCATCATGCTTCCACAAACAAAAGATACAACCCCCACCTTGAAGGCAAAACCTTCAAATCTCCCAAGGCAGCAGATGAGAAAAGAGCAGAAAGATGAAGATCCTCTTGTCCCTTTGTTAGTCATATCTCAATTTCCACAATTCTTGAATAAATATGCTTTCTGATGACCTCCTTGACCATCCACAGGCAGTTCAAGAGCGGCTTGCAAGGGTCAAGCAAGAAAGCATTTTTCTTCTAGGCTCTCCTACCATCATTGGCACTTTGGAAAAAAGATTTGTGATATGTGGCAATACTTTCAAGGTACATCTTTCTCCTCCATTTCAACGCGCTTTGATCTTTAGCTTACCTTCTTTTGCTCCAATCCAATAGGTCTACAAGGTTTCTGCTGGCAAATTTCCAGAGTGTACATGCAAAGATTTTCAATATGGCCATATCTGCAAGAACATCCTGTGCGTAGCCATTCTTCTCCATAGAAATTCTCAGCTGATGTTGCCTTTGAAAGACAGATTTGTCTTCATCAATGTCCTGGCCTATCAATCAAATTGCCCCTCATCTTCTAGAAGTAAGATTGGAACTTTTACGCTTTCAACCAATGATCATCACTCTTACTCTTACACATTGATTGTTTTCAGGGCCCTCCTGAGGGAAGAGCTTTGCAATATCTTTTCTAATGCCCCAGCCATATGCCTTCCTGTTGGGGTGACCAGTGAAAAATGATGTATTATGCAGAGAAAAAGGCAACTAAGTCTCATTCCATTGGGGAGCTTGGAAATATTCAAAGGAAGCTGACCTTGGCTAATATTTGCATCAACAGGGGAGGCTGGAAGATTGTAACATTGCAATACATCGAACATAGGTCATTGCTATTTGATGCACCCATCCAAACCATGTAGGTGAACCGAAAAATACACCTACATCCTTGTTTCAGAATGTAGGTGTGCAGAAACAACACCGACATTTGGAAATCTTGAATGTAGGCTTTGTTTTTGTACGCCTACATTTGGAGTTTCCATGCAGGCGTACAAAAATGCACCCACATTCTAAAAACAGGATGTAGGTGTAATCCTTGTACACCTATATCCTCTTGTAGGCATAAAATTTGTACACATACATTGTCAACCTGGTCAAATACGCGCCTGAAAGGATTTGGCACCCACACATAACACCATCCACCTACTAAAAGAGTGTTTTTGACCTGCAAATAGGATATTGGAGGACGGGAAACCCATTTCAAGATTGTGAAGAGGATATCGGAGGACGGGAAACCCATTTCAAGAGGCAAAGAGGATATTGGAGGACGGGAAACACATTTCAAGATGCAAAGAAGATATTGAAGGATGGGAAACCCATTCTGAGATGTTAAGAGGATATCAGAGGACAGGAAACACATTTTGAGATGCAAAGAGGATATTGGAGGATGGGAAACCCATTTCAAGATGCAAAGGGGATATTGGAGGACGGGAGAATTGTTGTAATGGTTTCGGCAGATATTTTGCATTGTAATACCTCTCATCACTCACATTAAATGGAGAAAAATGACACATCTCACAAATGGAAAACCCAAAGCTCAGGCCAAATCAAATCATCAATCACACCTTTCCCATCCCCTGGTAACCATTTCATATCTCAAAATGTGTTTCCTGTCCTCCAATATCTTATTTGCATCAATGAATGGGCTTTCTGTCCTCCAATATCCTCTTTGCATCTCAAAATGTGCTTCCCATCCTCCAATACCCTCTTTGCATCTGGAAATGTGTTTCCCATCCTACAATATCCCCTTTGCATCTTGAAATGTGTTTCCTGTCCTCCAGTATCCTGTTTGCATATTGAAATGTGTTTCCCATCCTCTGATATCCGCTTCACATCTCAAAATGGGTTTTCTGTCCTCAGACCTCCTCACATCTTGAAATGGGTTTTCTGTCCTCTGATATCCTCTTTGCATCTTGAAATGGGTTTCCCGTCTTCCGATATCCTCTTTGCAGGTCAAAAACGTGCTTGTGGTAGGTGAAATGGTGTTATGTATGGGTGCCAAATCCCTTGTAGGCGTAAGGAATTGATCCGTACATCTGAAATTTCAAATGTAGGTGTCATTTTCTTATGCCTACATGTCAAAATTCAAATGCAGGCGTCATTTTCATACGCCTACATCTCAGAATCAAAATGTAGGTGTGCAAAAATGACGCCTACATTGGGATTTCAAAATGTAGGTGTACTGAAAGGACACCTAATTTTGAAATTTTTACATGTAGGCGTCATTTTTACAGTGTCCACATCATGTAGGCGTAGGGAAATGACACCTATATTTGAAATTTTGAATGTAGGTGCCATTTCAGTACGCCTACAGAGAATGTAGGGGTATCATCAAGGATTTCGGCACCTACATACTCAATGTAGGTGTAGAATTGTGGGAAAACCCATGTAGGCGTACAAAAAACCTACACATACATTGTTTGCGTTGGTGCGTCAAATAGCAACGGCCTAAACATACTTCCTCAGCAAAGTCTTTCTGCAAATCACCAGATCCTAATTCTAGAAGCATCATGTGAAACACCTAAAGCAGTGTGTCCTGATATCTTATCCCATCCATGAGAGTGTCATATCTGCTTGCACCTTGAAAAAACTGAAAACCTTGTTAGATTGCTTCTAATTCTACTGCTGTTGATGTCTTGGTAGCCAAATAAAGCATTGTTGTTGTCTTTGCATGATGATAGTTGCCTCACAATAGCTTGAACTGGGCATAGACAATTAGATTGTGTGTTGAGAAAAATTTGTTGGTGAAAGCCTGGTTTTGCAGTCTTTGTTCCTCATACTAATGTATTTATGAGACAACCCTTGAGCAGGGCGGATAGCATTACTAGCTAGCACCAAATTAATCCATGCTGGTGAGCCTCTTGGCTTGTCATACTTGAACTCTGATAATATGTCCATTCCCACAAATGCAACTAGTACACAATCTAGAATTGCTAATTCCTTTGGTGACAAGTTGTCTAGACCATGGTATAATGCCAAAAGATGGTGAAGCATGACAGCTGGTTTCTTGGGTCTTCGAGTTCAAAGCACATCTGAAAGTTCTGGTGATTGCAAGATAACCTTCACCACGTCTTTTGTTGTGTGAGGATAATCCTTTAGATGGAAAAGGTGCCATGCACTTGAAGGCCAATTGAAGAGATATTCTTTGCTAACGATTTGGACAATATGCTGTCTACAGACTTTTTAAATTCAGTGTGTCCAAAAGAAACAACACTTTCAAACTTGCTGCTGCTTGATCCATGAGATTTGACCTTCTAACAATTGGCAGAGTCTTCCTGAGATCTCCAGAAAATAAAACAACTTCAGTGCAATGGCCGCTCGAGCAACTGCAGAGAAATGATAGAGAAAGTTGGCTTCCTCATAATGATATATGGACACAACTTGTGTACAAAAATGGGCCATGGCAGTATTCTTTCTACCCCCAGAATCATTTTAGTTTGTAAGAATCTTGTTGATATCATTGGAAATGGTGGTAGTATTGTTTTTGAGATTGATAATGTTATTGTTATCTACCATGATATTGCTGCTATCATCACAGAGAAATTTTTATATAACAAAATTATTGAATACTGCAATATGTATTTTTTGTCTCATAGTTTTAGATGAACACAATTATGGTAACTAGGGAAATATATCATCCTAAACATCCATATCTTTCATGATATGAGATGAATATATATCAATACAATTAACAATCTCTACCATAGCAAGACCGGTGGCACAGTCAGAAGATAGAATAAGATTGTGAAAAAGCTTACATCAAATCTTTCAGTTAGTAGTAGCTCTTTCAAGTACACTCATAGCTCTTTTAGCATTCTCATGAAGTTCAGCCCAAAGTAAAAAGATTGGTTTAATAAACTTTTCTGGACAATTCTCTAAGGCTTGTTCAAATAAATCTCTTGCTCCTTCAATCTTGTTACCTTGTTTATAATGAATATGTATTCCAAAATTCAAATACAATTGGAAATGAAGATAATTCAATTCCTCTTTCATATACTTTAAATTATTCTTCCCAATGTTCATATAATTAATACCAATCTATCAAGAAAAAAATTCAAAAGTATACTTGATCAATCCATTTCCGTCATGATCTAGAGATTTGAAAGCAGTCGACTTACTTAGCATTAGCAATTTTTAATTCAAGAATCAAATCATACATTTTTTGTGTAGATTCAATTCTTCTAAATCCACTCAAAATGACCAAAGTTTAAGTGAATTCAACAATCTGGTTTGTACAGGTAAAGATTCATCATGAAAACTGATTTGTTTCTTTTTCCAAACAACTGGTATCATTGTATACTCTTTGCATCACCTTCAAAGCTGCAGTTTAATTCCTGATGAAAGATTATTTGGCAGAGATACATGATCAGTTAGAGTAATTGTCACTGCACATAACATAATATTTTCTGGGCAGAAAATATAAATACTGACACACAAAAATATTGAGCAGCTAGGAAGAGAGAGAAAAATACAAAAAGAAATGCATATTTTTCCCCTGGTTGAGACCTTCAACATGAGTCTTTTTTTTGTATTTTTAGTGTTAAACTTGTTGATTGTACTAACAAAAAACCTCTGGGCTCACCAGATCACAACCTGTAACAGATATTGGAATTTGGCTAATGGGTGACAAGGGGGTGATTTCAATTCTACAATCCCTCATATCTTTGCAGGATTCCAACTATAAGGATCCCCATCATAAACATGTTGAGAAAGATACAGCTAACATGATCTTTGATCCCTTTGGGTGCCCTAGTTTCCAATCACAGCCCCCAGATACCAGTCACTGGCATGCCAGCCACTACCACTGAGTTCACAAGGACTTTGACCGGATTTTAACATGATATCCCTGCGGGGGTCATCCACCTGTCATACCACCAAGATTCCAATGCACTCATATGTCAAAATAGATATATGACCACCTGCTCCTGTATTCACAGATCAAGAGGATATATTTCATTAACCTTTACCATATCAATTGACTGAGTTATTGAGGTTTGAGACAAAATCACGGATAAAAAACAATATTTTGGTACTATAATCAAAACTTGGCTCTTGGATATCTTCAATCTTTTTTAATATACATATACAACTAGAGCTTAGGCAGGCTTGCCTGCCTCTACAATCAATAAGTAGCAAGTTGATCCTTATGGTCCAGATGGCTGGAGGCTTAAGTCAGGAAGGAGAACAAAGATATAAAATAGGATAAGCAATTGGGATATATGCTCCATGCTTGACTTATTGCATTATTGTGTGTCAAAATACAAACCGTGTAACCTCCATCAAAAGCTCAATACAATACAACTGTGACCATATACTCAATTCACAAGGAGATTAGGGGATTTCAAAATTAGTTTTAAGCATTTGTGCAGCATAAGGTATAGAAGTTTCAGAATAACTCATATGAACCAATGAGTGAAGTAAGGTCATGGTAGCATAAGATCCATCATAATTGATAAACCAGAAGGGAATGTTCAAGGAAAGGGTGCTTGAGACTACTTAATCCCATGAGTAATGAATGTAGTATGAGTGATGTAGGTGATTTGTGACCAAGAAACACTATATATCAACAAAAGACACATCAACTCTCACCACAGCTCAAAGTGTGTACATTTACAGGGATTGTTTTATGTTTGGATGAAGGTTATTTTGGTCCCAAGGTTTTTTTGTTTTCATCATAGTCAAGATTTTGTATAATGATATAATCATCATACCAATGTTTATGATATCAATTCTATATCTCATCATTGTGGTTTTGGTGAGTTTGTTTGTATCTTTGAAAGGCATTTTCAAATTTAGCATGTGTTGATGAATAATGTATATTTTTGTCTTCAAAATCTTGTATCACTTTAAACTTGAGTTACAAGTTCCAAATATCTCGTGATGTTACAAGGTAGGAGATATGTTTGGATTGAATAAAGATGGAGTGTGTGTAGGATGAATGAAAATGGAATACCATCACAAAAAACCTTTTCTGTACCTTCTCTCATCTACATGAAAAAATAATATGTGGTAATAAAGTTGGATTTGAAGATGAGGATCCAGTAAAGAAGATAAAGTTGAATTTAAGGTGAGGGAAGAGTTGAGAGTGAATGATGTTCAGTTAACTGAGTTGAGTTATGAAAAGGATTCAATGATTGAGTTTGAGTTTGATTTGATGAATGTGATGGAACATGTTAAAATGATTCAGATTGATGTAATGGAACGTGCTTAAATAGTTGAGTAACTTGATCAGATTGAAATCATTGATGAAGATGACACTGTGAAAAGAATGTGTTTCTCCCTAGTGAAAAATGATTGCATTTTTGGAAAAATGATTGACAAAAAATTGTACCTGGAATTGTGGGCCCAGTTGTGGCCCAAAACGCTTGGAAAAAGATCTGGAGAGAAATACAACACTCTTTGTCCTGCAACGTATTTTTGACGTTGCTCAAAGCCTCATACTCAGCATGAACCCAGCAAGCAATTTTTAATGTTTTTACCAGCTTTTTCCCTCTCAAAGAAGTCCAAAAAATCCGGAAAAATCAGAAGAGATCAGAAATCCCCTTTGTGATGTGTGGTGTTTTTTTCGGATTTTTTGATGCCTTTGTCTTGGATACATGCAGGTTAGAACATTAAAAATCTGCCAAATAAAGTTCAAATGCATTTTGGTTCACAGGGGCATCAAAATTCCACACACTGTCTTCAAACCATGTACAGATGATCTTGCATCCTTGGTTGTGCTGTAAAATTTTTTTTGGGTGGTTTTGGAGCCTTGTACATATGGCAGTAGCGTTTAAGTACCTAAAATTACACACATGTGATGACTTGTATACTGAGCCAGAAAAATTCTGAAAAAAACGTTCAACAAAGGGGATATTGTCCTCCACTTGTAATTTTTTTTTCAGATTTTTCTTGTCACTATTGAAGGGTGAATTTAGTGCTTTGGTGCTGCATATTTATGTGTTGATCCACAAAAATTTTGAACATCACCAAACTGAGTGCTAGAATTTTTTTACAATGACCAAAATCTCCCAACTGGAAGAAAATAGCACATTTTGCCTTACCAGATTTTTTCAGATTTTTTGGGCCAATATCAAGCAAGGCATTTTAAATACCAGAATCAATCATTTTTCGCCATGGAAAAACACATTATTTTTGCAGTGTGAGAAGCTGATCAATAGTTAAGAAGGTCAAGTTCAAAGTTTGATTTAGATTGAGAACTCAAAATTGTCTTGAGATGTTCTTGATTTGATCTTGATGAAATTCTGGGATCATGTGGAGTGAGATATGTAGTATGTGATCTAGGTAACAAATCAAACTCATGGTGACATCTGTTTGAGTTCCAATAGTAATTAGAATTGGTTCAGGTGGTCTGGTTTTTTAAGTAGCTCAATTCTTGATTAGATTCAAAGTCACATTTAGATTTAACTTCTGTTTATGTTTTTTCTAGAGTTTGGATTGAGATTAAGAGTGGGTAAGATGGTTGTTAATGTTGAGGCTAATGAACCATATTGAATGATTGTTTGTGATTCTGATTCTGGTTTAGAACATTACAAATTGATCCAAGTTTTGATATGAATTGAATATTTCAAGATGAATAAATTGATGGTTGATTTGATGTGTTTTGAATGTTTCAAGATAAATGAAGTGATGAATGTTCTGACTTGATTGCAGATATTCTTCTTCTGGAAGGTGAAATGTGACGGCAATAAAACATGAAAATGAAATTAGCTTGCTGTAGAAGTTTAGAGGAGCAACATACGTAGACTAAGACAAAATTTTGAGGTAGCAAAATGATAAAATAGTGTCCACAAATGAAATTAAAAAATGATGGATAATGACAATCAAAATGGGTGACAGAAGCTAGTGAATCGGATGAAGACGGTTATTCTATCAGCGGGTCTTTTGCAGCATTCATTGAATGCATAATGATGCATATTTGAAAAGTAAAAAAGATGAAATGACAGGGGGAAGGATAAGTGTCAAACACAAAGAGAGCCTCTGTGTGAATGGAGAGCGTAGTGAATGTGAATGAAATAGAGAAAAGGATAGATGGAGGGAAAACCAATGCATAGCGTAGGAATAGGTGAGAGTTGTTGCATTCAAAATAGTCCTACAGTGAGGTTTGACTTTGACTAAGTGAATTTGGAAATATTTTAAAAGCCAGATGGGGGATACAACAGAGTTGAAGGAATACAAAGAGCGGAGGGGGTGCTTTATGTGTCGACTGACTTCAAGCTGGAAGATAAGACTTCCAAGTTTGGGATTATGCCGACACCAAATTTGACAACTATTGACCTCAAGTTGCATTCCACAGTGATAAAACTTTAAAGTGGTATGGGAGAACAGGGAAATGGAAAATGAGGGGGAAACCTGGAGTATAAAGAGAGGACATGATGGTTGAAAATAATGAATCATAATGTGCACCTTGCAAGCGAGTCATGATTTTGAAAGATTTCTGGTGGCTGAAACTGGGGTTTGTTGTATATAAGTGTAAGCTTGTAAAGCCCTACCCTCAAGCAAAAGCTCAGCCTTATGATTCTTGAATGTAAGGCATAAGCGCTGACATTTTGCTTGAAGAGTGGGGATTTATGAATTTAAATTTATTTATTCAGTCCTACATTCCTTTCTGCAATATTATTCTCTACATTTTTGTCCCCTACAGCCTTCCTTCACAAGACATATTTATCTATGTAATTGTGTGAATGGTTGGTTCTAGAAAGACTGTCAAGAAATTAATGGTAGAGAATTTTTGAAATCATTATTTAAATGAATATCAGTCAATTTGAGCATGAATTTGACCCTACATTTCATCACAGTTTGCCTGAAGGTCAAAGAACTTGAGGGAATCTCACTTCTGTATTTAATCAGCAATTACATATAGCAATACTATGTAAGGACTCTATTATAAGAGTCCTTCACTAAGGATCTCCTTTTTTGCTGGACCCAACAGAGAGCATAACTTGAAACTTCTGTGTATCTATTACAAAACTAGCTCCAGAATGATTCTGTGAGTAGCTCTCATTGAGTCAGTACTTGTAACTATAATAAAAAGAACAACAATAGTATAAATGAAATGATATAAAAAGAATTCTCACCTAGCTCCAGAATGATCCCGTGAGTAGTTCTCAAAGCATGAGGATTATCTGAAGCCGGGCTATGGAGAGACACCATATAATCCAACTGTCTAATCCCATAGCTTAAAACCCATGAATTCCATCAAGCCTGGCTTGCAGCGCCAATGGTAGCGCAGAGCGCAGCGCTGCACCCTGAGGCTGCTGCTCCGCTACCCAGAACTTCCAGGGTCGGGCACTACGCCCTGCGCCAACATTCTGGGCCCGGAGTTTTTGTTGTTGCGCTTTCCGCCACTGAGTTGCCCACTGACTCTACTATCCCTGTTGTCCAGGGTCAGCTCAAGATTGAGTTATCAATAGATTAAGAAACTCAACAATCTTGATCAATCAATCCATCCATCAATACCTGTTACCTGAAGCCACAAGAAGCCATCACAATTCAATCATTGCCAACAGTATCATTGCATGACTATTCAATCCGAAACAACCCACATTTCAACCAATAGATTCATACACTTTGAACTCAACCTCAATCTAATCGAAAACGTTTTGTTACCATTACCTAGACCACTTTGAATTAGAAAGATTTATAGACCCAATGTTCCTAAACTCACTCCTACGGCTTGTGAAGAATCATGTTCTTTCAAATAATCTAACTTGACCAAAGAACAATAGAGAACACTCCATCATTAAATCAACTAGTTTGACCTCAAGAGATTGAATTTCCGTGATCATTCTACTTCTACTCCTACTACTCCTTGTGGATACAAATGATTCTAGACTTAGTTTAGATTCATTGGTATCCATTCAACCTTTACCTCCTCCTTCATTTCCATATCACTGTGAATCTCAGACTCAACCATATCAATCTCCTTATTCTCAATCTCAATCAATCAAATCTACACATCAAAAATCCTATTCTCAATCTAATTGCCCAAAATCAATAACCAAATCATCACATCAAGATCCATCTATGTGTAACCTCCCTACATACTACCCATTGACAAAGGCTGGAGCAGACAAAGATGTGGAGAAACATATTGTGGAAGATATAATCAAATTTACTGTATATGTATATTAATAAAGATTGAAGATATTCAAGATCTAAGTCTTAAGTATACGATGAAAATAGTATTTTTATCCATGTTTTTTTTAAAAACTCAATAACTTGGTCAATTTACATGACAAAGGCTGATAAAATATATATTCTTGATGTCAGCCCTGAGTTCTAAACCAGAGTGCCAATGGGCGACATATTACAGTGAAAACCTCAAAAATAGCAATTACAACTCAAGGCTCAGTCTCAAGAGTCAAGTTACATATGATTTAGCATATGTAACATGTGTTACATATGATTTAGAATATGTAACATGTGCAAAACTTACATCACAGAGTGTGAAAATACACAACTTCAATGCAAACCAAAGCTACATATATTTCACGGCCATAACATATATGTAACAAATGAAATATAATCATAACCCAATAGTAACTGTGTTACTGTGATTAACCTAACCATAGAAGCACAATTTGCGCGCACTGGTAGTCCACAGATTTTCAAGCTTCAGACTATATAAACCCTGGAAATCCAACCAAATTGAGAGGAATCATTGATGTATGATCATTCAATGATCCATGCCATGTAGCTACACACATGTAACTACATCACACTGAACTGGTCTTATTCCAGTTTGTACTCTCTGTACACATACATACAGTTGCATGGCCATCACATCTGGTACAAGAGTGGGTAGCCTAGCGGTAAAGGCAACACTCTAGCATGTGTCTCAGCTAATACACCACAAAGACAGTCTGATGTCTTGGGGATGTCCCATCTTTTTGCAGAGGGAGGGACATCCTGACACGGCCTCCTGCAAGGTGTCCACCCGGCATCCTCTCTTGGACACCGCCACAGGGCCTTCCAAGATGTCCTTGGACCACCCCAGGACTGTCTCAAAGGCATCCTTGGTGGCTGACATGAGGATGCAAACAGGAAAGACGTCCTCAGGAACACTTTGACACCTCCTCTGGGCATCCCTTGTGATCCATTCAGGGTACCCTTGCGGTGAACTCAAGTAGGTAAGCTAAAGTTGTCCTGAGGATATCATACAGGAGACCTTTAATATGTGGTTTTGTATAATTTGTTGACTATAACAACTACACTAGATTCTCATTCTGACTCGATCAACTCTGGCGTAAAGAGTTCAGCAATGATACAAAAGACATATAAACTGGATTACTACACATTGGTTATATACACTATAATACAATCACAATAATTGAAAAGACATCAGGATTAAATTCCAAAACGATACTGATGGTCCTTGACAAATGATATATATACACTATTATACAGTAAGACTGGGGAAGAGTTGACACAATAATATTTGAAAACAGGAGTGCTTAATAGTTTGCAGGCAAGAACAAATGGTCAGCTGTTGTGCTGTGATGAGGAAAATTCAATGGCAGCCAAGACTTCTTCTTCAGTGGGAAGATCAAATTTCATCTCATTTGCCTTGACATCATCGATTGTCTTCTTTCCATCAAAAAATTATTCATATCTTGTAATAATGATGGAATTAAACCTTTAGACATGTGATGATACATAAATCAAGAAAATGAGCTGGTTGTTGCTGTTTAGATGATTTAACAATCAATGTATGCTTGCCAATACAACTGTTTTGAAAAGATTGAAAATCAAAACAATATGAATATAATGTGATCAAGACAAAACAGAGCCTTTCTCACATCTCCTAGTAAGGTCCCCATTGTAGGAATGGAAAGCAGCTCTTGATTAGCTGTTTCTGTTGTAACATGTATGTTCTTTGGGAGCTATTAGATAGAAAAATATAGTCAGTACATACTAGAGCAAGGCATATCAAAGACAGGTCTGGACCTCACAATAACTCGAAATTCATCTTGCTGATGCCTCAGTCAATCCTTGAATTCAATCACAAACTTTGCATGAGCTGTCAGATCATCTAATGTATCACCCAAGATTGGAGGAAGGGTTTCCGCCTTCCAAGCTGTAGTTTGTCTTATCAGAGCTTGCTGCAAAAAAGTAAAATTGTGAGCAACCTCTTATGAGCAAGCAATTGATTAAAATCATCATACCATAGCCTTCCTATGACAGGACCTAATTATAGGCCTCTTGTTTGAATACAAGGTGTTGTTGTATGCTTTAACCGTATGGTCTTTTAGAGTGAGACACATAATATTGATGATTTAGGTCTGGAACAAGGAAATACACATCAGAGTCTTTCTCTCCATATGTGCACACTTACGTACACCAAAATCCAACCTCAGCGCCCAGGATGCTGAAGTTGCAGTAGCCTGATTTTCAGTGGATTGTTTGCCAAGCTCTTGGAGTACCTGCTGCATGAGGCAGACACCTGCTTGAAATTGGTTTTGAGAACCATTTATCTAGAAGAGTGTTGCGGTTTTCAAATCCAATCAAAATATAGTTCATGATTGTCTCATGATAGGCTCAACTTTAGCTCACCAAAGAGATTGGAAGTGCATTTCCGCAATGTGTAGCGTCAAGATCAAATATATCTGCAAGCAATTCCCATTCAGCTCTTCTAGCTTGCCCCATGGGTAGATTGATTGAAGGCCAATCAGAAGATGAGGTCAAGAAAGGTTCCCTATGTATGTTACCCAAAGTTGATTTTGGGCCACCTGTTTGAGGCTCTTCATCTTTGGAACCAATATCTTTTGCTAGACCTGGCTCATCACTTTCTTGGTCTTTAGCAACACTATTTCCTCTAAGATCAGGATCCTCTTCTTCCTTTTTGGCAGTGGTGTCTTTTTCTGGGCAAGAATCTTGATCATCATTGTCTTCTACATTCTCTGAAAAAGAATTGTTGTCAGAGATTTGTACAGATATGGTAGTCTTGTAGAAGAAGAATGTGTACATTGATGAGCTCTTTTTATTTGGCTGCTTTGTGAGTGTTTTGTCCTTGATGTTCATACCTGAGGGATGCTGTAAGTGAAGACAAGCTCTTGAGTGCTTAGAGCTACAGGCCCAACATCAACTACAGAAATTCTTGCGGATTGCAAGGAAGCAAATGATTTGGAGACAAAGAAATGTAAGTGATAACTCACCTGGTGACTCTGAACAAGGGTTACGCTGAGGTTGACTGTAAGGTCAAGGAGGCATGAGTGCAACTTGTTGAGAAGAATAAAAACAATAACAGGTCCATAAATTGCGATCAAGGAAGACAGCTCCAGTCTTGACGTGAGAACAGGTGTGAAGGAATGTGACCAAAGTATGCATTGGTTGATTGGTTTGATAAAGTCTGTGGTCACATGTCAAGTGATGATTTCATTTTGCCACAGTTCTGTTACCACAAATTGGACAAAGGTTCATGGGCATTAAGAAAGTCAAACAAAATAAATCACAATTTTATGATAAAAATTCAGCAAACATTGTTTTTGTGCTTAAATTGATTGCTTCACATGAACTTATTTTACAGAAACTTATCATCAGAAGTCTGTTCAATTGAATGTTTGATCACAAGCACCCATTTTTGAGGACTTTTGCTTTCAAATGATGAGCACTTGCAATCTGGATAGAAGCTTCTTTAAATTAGCATTGGATTTCTATAACATTCTGATAGAGGGAATTGCTTTTGATTCTTGAGAAAGCGCTTCAATGAAATCTTATGCTTTGCTTGAATCTTGGAAGCATATTTTTTTACTTATGACTTATTATAAATACTGATAGTGCAAGTAGATGTGGAATTGCCAGCACCATCTCTAAAACACACCAAACCCTGCTCCAGGAGAGGTTTCGGCGGTGAGTCTAACTCCCCGTCATATCCTGCAACATGAAGCTCAAGATCATGGTTTTGACTCTGCACCACCTACTATTGGTAACCTCATTCAGCATCCTCATCACCTCTCATTAGTATTAGATCAATCAAAAACAGAAAAACAACTGACTTTATGTTCTATGGCTATCATTTCAACATTGGAAGTCACTCAAGATCATCCAACTAAGCCAAACTGAATTCCAGTTGTATCAATAATCTCACCATTCTTATCAAACCCAATTTTGATTCAAAATTTGAAACCATCATTTCATAATCAATTATTATTTCCAACATTTCCACTAACCAAATCTATAATAATCATCATAAATCTTTTATATGATTTATCAAATGAAATTTTAATTCAATAAAACAAACCCAAAGAATTATTTGGAACTTCTTCAGTACCTTCAGTTAGTTTTTCAGCTAATTCTGACTTAAGAAGACAAGTTCATTCAACTTTATCTTCTTTAACAATCAAACATTTGTATAGTAAAGATTTATCAAATTTCATTTTAAACCAATTTTCAATAAGTCCAGTAGATACACATCAAGCTTTCTCTTTACTTTCAATATCAATCAAATCAAGACAATTATCTCTCATTCACACGCAGCGATTCACATTATCAATCAAGGGATTTTATTGTTGGATGGCAGTGAGCCAATAGCAATAAACTCAAAATCTTGATGTTGGAAGGTGATTTGTTGTTTGTTGGATGGCAGTGAGCCAATAGCAATAAATCCAAAATATCCTCACTTGGATTTGGAAAGGCATTTTGTTTTTGTCGGACGGTAGTGAGCCAATAGCAATAAATTTAAAATATCCTTCACCCACATCAATATCTACCTCAATATCTTGGCGGTTTCCTGAGGGTTTGTTTGAAGGCAGTGTGCCAACAAAAATGAACCCCCAGTCTGATGACCAGTGTTTTGGTGTGATGATCATGTGATGAACAGTTCACTGGACGGCAGTGTTAGTTACATTGAAAAAAGATTGTAATATATTTGTTACAAGCTGACATGAAAAGACAATCAATTTTGCACGGTCATACAAACTTTTTGGCGACTCAAAGACAGAATGTTGAACTCAAAGCAGGATTAATATCATCATCATTGTGTAACCTCCTTTTCCCCTTGTCTCTTTTGATTTTTTCCCTTGTGGCTTTTTCTGTTTTGCCTTTTTCTTTCTTTGCTTGACTCATTCTCCAATTTGACATACCCATATTTATATTTTCTGCTCATGCATTTTCTGTCCATTGGAGATGAATGATGTTTGCAACCAATCAATGTTCATTGGCCAAAAACAAGGCACCCCAGTTCAGAAAATTCCTGTTAAACTCTTTGGGATGGATTTGAAAAGGTGATTTCCCTGGGAGTTGTATGTTGTATCTTGCCAGACTGGATAGTGGCTGACATTTAGCTACATGGCAATTGTGTTGAATATTGAGCACACATTTGATTCTCCATTTTGATGGTCATGATTAGTATGATCTTTCCAAAATACTAGCTTACACAATTTTGTTTTATTGTATTGACTCACTTGTATTGGTATCCACAAGGCTTCCTGTAAAACACTCAATCCTCTCAAACCATAGAATTCATCAATATTTTCATTGAGAGAGCGTACCTTCAATCTGTGCAAGTATTTTGTGCTCCCTTGAGATTGACCTTGCCAAATACCTTCAATACGACCTACTTGAGGAGATGGGCTGTTGGACTCTATATCAAAGAGGACAAAATTCTTTAAACCCACACGCTGTTTTGATTGAAGGAAAGGTTGAGTTTTTGATGACCACAAGTGCCTTGAAAATTCCTTGCATAATTCGGCAGGAACAACTCCAGGTTGTTATCACATTGACGTATATATCTCTACGGGAGGACAACAAAGGTGACAAATTGACAAATATATAAATGTGGATCAAATGCCATGGTTTGTGAGGCCACACATACCTTTCATGAAGATCTTTCCTTCTTCATTCCAACTGTTGTTGAAACCAAAGTATTCACAGGGCCATTTGTTTTTTGAGAATAATCCAGTCACCTCCTTGCCAGCACGCGCCTGACAAGAATATTTATTATCCCAAAATGAGTAACCAGAAAATATTAGCCTCATCAAGCGGCTGCAGTTGAAAGTTGTTGAAACTCGGAAGCCAAGGTTTGGCTCAGCTAGAGTATACTGAAGCTTGTGTTACCTCCTTGAAGCTCTTAAGTTTTTCTGTCGCACATAAACAAAGTGTACCACAGCAATCAATGCATTCCACAAGATGTATAAGCATATGAAATTTTGGCTTGTTTGTCCACTGAGCAGACCATCTGATAACATGCCCAAGAAAAATTTTGACCAGCTTCTTCATGAAACTGTCTAAGTAGGAGGGGATGTTGCTAATACATGTTTGAAAGATTAAAGAGCCTAAGTGGGCTAATGCAGTCCACATCCTTTGTCTTTCCTCCAATATATGTGGGCTAGCCTGATCAGCGGTGGGCGCCGCATCATTGAATGATGTTTAATCAATTCACCAAATTGATACCATATTTGTATCTGCATTAATCTGATCCACCACCCAACCTAGAATCTGCCAATGCAAACAGCCCCAGGCACAGACACATCACACAATCAATTTCTTATGACATACTAAACACTCTCATACATAATCATAGCTCACAACCAAGCTCAAGAATCTTGACCCACAAAGCAGAAGACACTTAAAACAGATTACTGTGAACCTCTAACCCTGAAAGCATATCCCCATCAATAGACACAATGATGTGTACATACAAATTGCATCGAATAATTTTTCATTCACAATTGAAAATCACCATGGAGAATCAGCCTTGTTTTTGTGTAACTTCACCAAAATAAATTCAAGACATTTATTTGGGATTTTTATGTACTTTTATTTTTTTCCTCTTCTCAGGTATATGATATGTATAAGCCTTTTTGAATACAAAACCAAAAGAACCCCAGCATGATAAGAATTCACAAAGTTGATAGACTCTTCCAAGCTTTACAAAAGAAAAAACCTCAATCACTGTAAACATCATTCAACTTCCCCAATTTGGCAGAGGAAAATGATTAATAGTACAGTTTTTCATAAAAGAATCGAATACTGCACACCTGGGCCATTTCACCCACACTACATATGTGCAGCAAGCTAAGTCAATAGTTGTCTATCATGTACATACAGGTCTGCTCAGTTTTTTGCCCATCAGAATAAATAAATCACATGTTATACCACATGTAACTTTTTCGACTTTGAAATTTTTTTCCCAAAAATTCACTACATATAATTCTGTAGCTGCTCAGGCAATATTGTTGAAGCTATGTCTTAGTAACAGAAAGTGTGTTACATGCAGTTGAGTTGATGAGATCACACCAAAACATTGAGTCAGTGTATGTAGTCAATCTTTTGGAAGCTTTTTTCAATCTGAAAGAAGTTACAGCATGTATTACATATGAATAACTTGTCCTGATGAGCAGATAACTGAGCAGAACTGTATGTACATGATAACCACATATTCACTGAGCCTGCTACACATATGTAGTGTGGGTGTTATGGCTCAGGTGTGGAGTGATAGACCATTTTATGACAAATCATACTCCCAATCATTTTTCCCTGCCCACTTGGGGAACCCGAATAATGTCTGCAGTGAATGATCATAAGCGGCTCTGAAACCTGCCCTGGTTTTCAAAAAACCCAGTTGACCCAGTGTAATTTTTGGCTGAGAGCTGTCAACATAAGTCAACTTGATACACAAAGTAACCACAAAAAAGTCAACTGGGTCAACTGGGTTTTTTGAAAACCAGGGCAGGTTTGCAAGCCACTACACATAGAAATCAATCTTGTTTTTTTGCATCTCCAAAACTCAAGTCTTCTTCTTAAAACAGAGCAGATGTCATTGGCAATCAACCCATTCCCATCAATCCTCAACTCTTTTCTCATAAGTCCATGATCCTTGATTTTTTCTCATCAAAAGAAATTTCACAAAATTTGATAATATTCCACTTACTTTCTTTGATGAACTATTTTCTGAAGATGAAATTCTAATAGCATGAAATAATCTATTCCTACAGATTTCACAAACCTTTGAATTTTCTTTTATTGTATCAATCCAATGATTTTCATCAAACTATAATTGATGATCACCATCTAAAGTTATATTACATTTGTTATCACCTTTAAAATAGTTTGAATCAAGATTAAATTAGATAATTCTTGGCTAATTTTTGAGTATCATTTTTGTTTTCTTCTATGGACTTATTCATTTAATTCAACAAGTCCAGATTGTGAAGAATTTAAATGATTCAGGCGATAAGTTTAATTTTGTGAACTTTCTTCTTGTTTGTCTGTGGTAGTACTGGGTTCTAAATTCCCCCGTCTAGAAATAAAACAAAACAAAAAAGATTGAAGATCTGGACTTGATGTTTTAAACATTTTCATTTTTTTAACAATTAAATAAATTTGCTTGATTGTTGATAACTTACTTTGAAGAATAAAGTATAAGTTCTGTTGAAAGAACTCTAATTAAATCTATAATAATCAAACTTTCACATCCTTCTGAACAA